GGCTCTTCATCCTCGAGCGTTGAATTCCATGTCAAACAATGTCGATGACTTCGTAATGGTTCTATGTTTGGTTGGGTCCAATAGGTGGTAGACGAGGAAGATCATCGGTGTTCATCCGATGGAGGTTGTTGACATAAGACCGAGTGGCATATCAGCAGGCTTTCGCATCTTGCGGCGCATGGAGCGTTTCTGCTTTTCAAGAGCTTGGTAGGACCGACCGCTTCGACCCAGGCATTTATGCCGAATGTAATGTCAGAGTCGTCCAAAGTAGGCTGAGCTGCTCCGTCACAGGCATTCTGGAAACGTACTTGGAAAACGGCTTCGTCTTCACCGCAACGTACGTCGCGTGGAGCAAACCCGTTGACTGCAATCTGGCGGAAGGCATTTCAACGTATTTCACGTGGTCTGCACAGCTAGATCCGTAACTGCTCTTGGCAGGGCTAGAATCATCTCCTTGAGGTAGGTTAAGTTTGTTCGTAGGACGTAGCAAATGGCGAGACCACCGAAGACCTTTCCATGCGTCCAGCCAACTTGATGGCTTGACGTGGGTCATCAGAATCATCTGATGATCTGGACTTGAAGGTGTACTGGCGACTGTTATTTTGTGATCTGCTGGAAAGGTGCGAGTTTGTAGGTGGTAGAGCGAGATTCGTCGATTTCGCATCATAGTAGAGGTCGATGAGAGGAAGGATGGTTTGTCGCGCAGCTTAGACTCGAAACTGGTGTAGTCGTCTTTGACAATCTTCATGGTGAGGGAAAAGGTTGAGGGTAGCTGAAGACTATTGGTTTGTTAACAAAATGCAAGACGGGCTAAAAGCTAGTGTAGAAGATCTTCGACGTGTTTTGTGATTGTAGCAGAGAATGAAGTTATGAGAGGTATTGAAAGGCTATGAAAATTAATCAACGAGGAGATCACAATCACAAGGATCGTGATCTGAATTCCCGCGGGAACTGTAGGATGTGATAGATTAGGTTGCGGTGCAATCTACTCACTCCAGATCCAAAACGGAAGACGCGTGGGAAAGTTCGTCTAAGCATTAGTTTATTATAGCGTGGAGTTTCTCACGCTGGCTAAATATCTAGAGCGATGTTTCATCATCAACCTAGTATGACTAGAGCGGTCATTGAGAACCCTGTCTCCAATGACTATTCGCGAAGGAGTACGTCATGAGTCGAACTCAAACCCTATCTAGGATCGAGTCGCGAATAAGGTTAAGAGCCATGTATTGCAACAGGTCAGGCATTCCCAGTCAGTTTGTCTCTCAAATAGCAACCACACGGAACGTCAATGATGGTGCAAGCCATTCAAGTGTACAGTTCCAGCAAGAGACAAACCCAGTCGACACCAGCTCATGGAATTGACGTATCGCAATACTAGAAGAAGAGTATCTGAAGAATCATCCAGATCAATTGAGAGCTCTGTGGAACCAGATGGAACTGTACTGTCGCAATTATTGAATGGTCACTTCGTCAGGATCTCAACTTGGATGCAGAACAACAGCTGGCATTCCAGATTATAACAGCTGCTTTTGTTCTTACCTATTATCAAGATGCAGTCAGTTTGGATCCTGATAGATCGAGGTCCTGCAACAACCCAAGCCAAATAAGGCGTGATTTTCTGGAGGAAAAAAGAAAGCTCCGAGTTCTCTCCAGGTTACAGCACGATCAGCTTATCTTTTTTCTTGATGGAGCTGGTGGAGCTGGCAAAAGCAGAGTGGTCCAGGAACTTGTCAAGTATGGAAGAGAGTTCACTACAAGGTTGAACTTGAAGTTTGATATGAGAACCATCATTGTGAGTGCAATGTCAGGAGTTGCAGCTGTTTCTATAGGCGGCGAAACAACACATTCTGTGGCCTTTTTTAACAGGAAAATTCCCAGTGACGATACTTCCTGGATCAATGCCAGATTGCTTATTATTGACGAGGTGTCTTTTATGAGTACAAAAGAGGTGGACCTTCTTGATGAAAAGTTAAGGTGCCTCATGCGAAACTACAATACCCTGTTTGGAGGAATTCATATTCTTTTCTGTGGAGACTTTCGACAACTTGAGCCAGTTAAAGGAACCCCACTATACTCTCCTTTTCACAGTGACAAAAAGTGGATTAGTTCCATTAAAATTGCTATGTTGAGCTTCTTGGTTTGCACAGGTTCTGAGAGGATCCAGAATGGGGTCGCCTTCTATCCAGATTTTGCAATGACACATACACATTGCATGATATTGATGCAATTAATGAGTGTTGTATCAAGCTGAAACCCAGAGCCATTCCAGCAGCCACATCCTATTGCGTCTATGGCAATGCTGACCGTACTGCCATCAATGCTGGAATTTTTGCCAATGTGTTGAAAGCTCACTGGCAGACAAGTCAAACTCTTCCAAAATATATTCTTGTTGTCACTGCTGGGAATATGGTACGTATAACAAAATCAAAAAAGAAGACACCATTGGGCCAACAAGACAGGCAGTACATTTATGGGAACTGTGGTGATCAAAAAGTTCGAGCCAGGATCATGGGCCGTAAGGGTCACTTTGTTGATCCAATGCTGAAACTTTACTATCACATACCTTTGATGCTAGTTTCGAATGACGATGTACCAAATGGCCATGCAAATGGTACCAGAGTGTTCCTTGAAGCTGTGATCACTACAGAAAATCCTTCAACAAGCCGAACAATTAAAATTGACGGGAATGAGTGCCCAGCAATTGATGCTTCTGATGTGAAATATCTCATTTGCAGCTCACAGAAGAATCCCAATAAGTTGTTCACCGTCAATCCAAAGACTTTCCAATGCTCTGTTCAAGCTCCAGTTCCCAGAACAATTGCTGGAACCATCCAAGCTACAATCAACCTCACAGTTAGTCTGGTTCAATTCCCTGTCATTACCAACAATGCAACCACAGGCTACAAACTTCAGGGCCAAAACAAAGCAAACTTGGTGATATCTGTTTGGTCAAAGCGAAAGAACTGGAATTATGTGGGGTTGTCACGAGTGAGAACCAGGCTGGGTTTGTACTTGCTGGCTGCAAAAGTTGCCATATGATGCCGATTTTTCAATGTCACATGAACTTAGAGAAATGAGGATCGATTGTTGAACTTGACTCCTTTGCCTTTAGATTGGGATTTGGAAGAAGAACATAAAATACATGAGATGAGGCGACGGCATGCAACTAACAGGGGTGTGGCAACTAACAGGAGTGTGGCAACTAACAGGGGTGCGGCAACTAACAGGGGTGGGGCAACGGCAACTTAGCTCATAATTACTTCACTGTATAACAAAATCTATCAACTTACAAGGCTATTTGAGCTCAATACCCCTTCTAGTTCATCTTTAATCGTGTGCTCTATTAATACCCTTCTTTCTTTCTATTTCGGCAAAAACATTGAATACCAAGTATAATTCACCCATCTATTTTTCTACTTGTACTTTTTTTGGGCTACAGTATTCGGTAAATGTCTTACCTTGCCCTGTCTACCCAGTTATTCTACAGTGTATAGGTTAACGTGCCCATGCCAACCATTGGAAAAGCCACCGTATACCTGAGTGAAAAATTGGTCCTGCTATTGTTTTGTTTATAGTAGAGCCCTGCCAAAAAATGTTTTAACTAGCCCCCTTTGAAACCCAAATCATTAAGTCGCGAGGAAACCTCACGGATGGAACTCCCTTCCGGAGCGCCGGCCAGTCTTTATTAGGGTTCCGGAAACTATTAGGGATAGTCTTTCATTGAGCACGTGGAAACGGGGAAGGGTGCTTTTTCCAAAAATAAGCCAGCGAATAGCCTTCGGAATTCCAACGGAAAGATTTTGAAGGATTGAGGAGCCACAAAAGAAAAGTGGTTGCCATCTTGCCATCTCTTCAAGACCCAAAAAGCTGCAACAACGTCGAGAGCTAAGTCTGTCAAAGAAGAAGAAGCAAGATGAGCAGTCAACAGGGCACCGATAGTGCCGCCGATGGAGGAGTTGCCACTGGCAGTAGCTCATCAAACGAAGGTCCCATCAGTTTCAACGAAGCATCTGAGAGATTGGCAGAGATTTTCAATGACTTCTTTACCGACCATGTCGGCCAAGACCCTCCTCAGTATCCCCGGGAAGAAGTATTGAAATTGCTCCGGAACCACAATGCGTTGCTCTATGATCGGTTTGAAAATGTTGACTCGGAGCATCAACGGCTGACAATTTCCTACCTTATGGAGGGACAGAGTGATTTGCAGACGATTCAAGAAATCCTTCAGTGGACCGAATCTCTGGGTGATCCCGTTCACGAAGAAATTGCTTTTGAGGCACTCTGTGATGCCTGCCGGTTTGGTTGCCAACCTGGGGTAATGGAGTTCTTGGTAAATGCCAGTATTTCCTATGGACTCGACATGGTGGGACGTCTCTTACAGACCCCTGCGCAAATTGTCTTGCATGATGATTTGTCTGTTGCTCGGACAGATGATGAAAAGATACACATCCTCCAGTTGTTGGTGGATGCCGATGAAACTGCCGTCTTGGGCACCTATGGCGATTGGCATGATCTGATAAAACAGGCTTTACGGGGTGACTTTGGCACGCCTATTATGCAGTTCCTCGTTCACGCTTATGCGAATTCTCAAGACAAGGACGGAGCGATGTTGTGTATCGATGATGATTCGATGACAATAGGGCTCCCACAAGCGGAAGCATTGGCAGTGCTTCTACGCAAAATCTATTCATTCACCTGTGAGCCAGGAGGCTGGGATAGACAGGGGTTTGCTCGCTTGATGGATGCCCTTGGTTCCAATGAAAGCATTGGCATTCTTTTCATTGAACTGCCCTTGCCCTTTTTCAGGGATGCAAACAATAGGGTAGGAGGATCTCTGCGACAAGCAATCGCTGGGAACAACACAATTTACAGTGCCACATTTCGAGGTAGCAGAGAAGAGTTTGGCGATGATTGTCTTCGTGCAGTTCTGGCGGGACTAACCGGCAATTCCAGCATGAAAGACACGACAATTTGTCGATTTTCTCTCAGTGTGTCCCAGCCCCTGACTGAATTCATGGCACACTGCAGAGTCCCCATGCTGAGGCTAGAGCACATTTCCTTCCAAGAGGATGCAAATCATGACTTTGCCTTTTTCGATGACTGCTACATTCAAAAGCTCCATCTGACAAATGACTTGGGCGACGAGTGGTGTAACCAACTTATATGCAGGCTAGACAGCATCCCCAGCCTATGGCACTTATGTCTGATACATGAGGGTGGCGACCCCTCTGATGTTACTCTGCCGCTGATGACATCCATTGGTAGAAAAGGTTACCAAGGGAAGCTTCTCAAGTTGGTCCTCTGCAACACGGTGATTGATCTTGATGCATTTTCGGTGATTCTCAGAAACAATAATCAACTAGAAGATCTGAACATTCATGCCTGCAACACGAGCAACTATTGCGCTCTTCTAGGCTGTGTGGCTGAACACCTAGAACATCACAGTACCAAATTGACTTGCGTGTACACAAGCTATTCTGGCTGGAATGCAGATGATGTTGAAATCCCAAAGGAGCTGAACAAGGTCGACTTCTTTCTGGCACTAAATAGATATGGGAGGCGGAAGAAAGCCATGACGGATGGAACAACCTTGCCAGAATTTGTGGGATTGCTGTGTGATATCATTACCCGCCCTCGTGTCGAACGTGGGGGTGGTGATTGCCATCATAACTTGCAATTTGGATTGCTACGAATTACTCCTCACTTGTGGAGTAGTTCAGCTGACACCTAGAATCCTCTCTGCAGTTATGGTCGGGCTGGATCAAACAAAACAAATCAAAACAAAGTACAACTAACCTTGCACAAATTCTGTCCCTACTATGACACCCAAATATTTTTAAGAATCTGCTTTCAAATTACTAAGTGGGCTGCCAGCTTCAGAAAACTATGAGCTTTGAATGACTAGACTAGTACCAGTAGTTTTCGTGGAAGAATGGTTTTAATTGTTGTCTTCTTCTTCTGCGTTGCTGTCTTCGTCCGCATCAACTTCTTCGGCTTCCTGATCTTGTATACCACTCAATTTGACAATCCCAATTCGATTCTTGGCGTTGGCCACACGGTTCCACCTACCTAGTCTGGGTTCTTGTCCCAGTGCCACGACACAAAATCTTGCTTTGGGCCCGATATCAATCCCATTGATGAAACCGTGAACTGGGACATGCGCCAAAGTTTCTAATCCACGTTCCTCCAAGGTTGCCCCAGTGTTGGCCTGGGTAGCAAGGAACAACGATTGATAGTGAGTGAGAATACGTCCCAACAAACATGTAGCATGTCTCTTTTCTTGTGTTCCAACTCACCTTCCAGAACCGTAGAAACCCATCATTGGCACCGGTCGCGACCACATCACTTCCTTTGAGCGCACAGATACTACCAATACCATTTCCAATCGCATTGCTACTTCCATGTGCCAACTCCACGGTCTCGATCGCCTTCTTTTTGTCCGTCAACCATAAACACAGCTGTCCATTTTCGTGTCCGCTCAAGAACCAATCATCCTTGATGACTGAAACACAATCCGCCGGAGCCAGTTTGGCCCCACCTCGGAAAATGAGATGGGTATCTTCCTGCAACTTCCAAGCTCGTGCAGTTCGATCTCGTCCCACCGAAATGGGTCGTTCCTTGACATGACAGTCAATGCCTGTGACACCAAACTGATGTCCGTAGAGTGTTTCCAGGTACATCATATCCTCCAAATTGTAGTGTCGAACGCATCGATCGTCGCTGCCAGAAAACAGTTGCAAGGATTGGGTTTGGAACGCCAAACAGGTAATGGCAGATTTGTGTCCTGTAAATGTTTTGACGAGATCTTTGGATCGAATATCAAAAATGCTGACGGTAGCATCGTGCCGTCCCACGGCGGCGTATCGTCCATCGTCGGAACATGCCACGGACAAGACTTGTCCGTTGGTTCTCGTTCCACCAGTAGTAGTATCTTTATCTTTTTTCCAATGGGGTGACAATGTCGTCAGGGCCGTTTCCTGCTCCATATCCCATAGAATAACGGAATGATCTTTGGATCCGGAAACCGCTTTTGATCCATCGGCTTGTAGACTGATGCAGGTGGCAGTCAAATCATGTCCCTTGAGCAGTTTGACGTGTCCCTGTGCCACCCATTCTTGTGCTTGTTCGCGTGCACTTAGTTTTGTGGATTGTTGCTGTTTCTTCTTTTTTTGTCTCTCGAGGAGTCTCTGATCGACCAGTTCCAATTTGATGGATTCAATGGCTTTGGCGAGTTTGTCGGCTACCATTCGCTCGTAGACACCTTGTCGTTTCAGTCGCTGTTTTTGGAGTGATCGACCCACTCGATCCATGTCTTGGTCGTCTCCGGAATCGTCCTCGTCTTCGGAACCACTACCACTACTACTAGACGAGCCATCTTGCTCGAGCTTGTGCAGATAATCGCGTGCCAAGCGAACTTTTTTAGCCTGGAGTGTTTCTTCCTCTTCGTCGTCATCCGATGATTCCTCTTGGCGTTGGAAAAAGTCATCTTCCGAATCGATTTCATCATCTTCCTCTTCTTCATTGCGAAAGCCCAAATCAATGGAATTCTTGGAGCGCTTTGTGCTGGATCCAGCCTGAATGGCCGACGAGGGTTTGCGGCGTGTTCCGGCCATTTTCGTGTAATGATAATTGTAGTTTTGGTACAACCGTACTGTACTGAAGCCAAGATAACCAATGATTAAGAGACAGAGAGATAGAGAGAGCCAAGATGGGGTATCCGTATTGAGCTTAGCTCGGATAGGTTGTGATGGTATGGGGTATCCAAGCTAGCAAGGCCTTCAGCAATGAGAAAACGCAAAGAAAAAACAAAGCTGCCTCCGAATAACTGACGGGTGGTTCGCAGTTGCACAGCTCTACCGGGATAAATTCAAAATGTCACTGGTCAACCAAGATGACCCTCAATGGCTGGCTTCCTCCTCGAGCCTCATTTTTCTGCTCCCAAACACTTCTCCTCTCGACTGGTGTTGTTGGGTTGTTGTCTGCGAAACAAGTTTGCAATGTGCTGGGCTGGTACTGTAGCGCTGCGGGATCAGGAAAAGCAATGGCCAAGCTATCTGTGACACATTTCAAAAGCTGGAACACACAATCCAGAAACTGGAAGAAAGAGAAAATTGTATTATCGCACCATGCTACCGGTGCCCCGAATCTTGCCACTTGTTTTGACAGCTATTGCGAGTGCTGCCACGGCTACCCCCAACAACAATGATGATGCTGTATTTCGATGGAGCTCTACAGGAGGAGGATGGCGAGCCATGTTTGCTTGCATTGGTTTCTCCAATGTCTTTCGACAAGCGGGACTATTCTCGGAAGACGCACCGTCACTCTTTTCGGGGATTGCCACCACCAGCGGCGCCAGTTGGTTCAATACGCAACTCTTTTACTCACCATCATTCTATCAACAAACCGTACTGGCGGAAAACCCGCAACAACTCCATGACTTTACCATTCGATGGATGCAAGCGTATCATGCGTTGACACAAGACATTATGCCCATCACCAATCATGTGGAAGAGGTTGTCAACATGACCAGTTTACGACCCAATGATACCTCAACCAACACGGATACCCGACCCAAAGATGATATTCTGACCTTCCTCTGGGATTTCTACGACCTTGTTCAATTCTTTGGGGGGATTGGGGCAACTTTATTCAGCAATTGCTGGAGGCTGGAGCAGATTCGTTTGAATCCAATGTCAACAGCAGCACGCATGATATTAGTAGACTGTCGCTATCCGAAATCAGGGCCAACTCCACCGGTCGGATCAAACCCTTGCAACACACCGATATGCTCATTCAATCAGCATTGGTGCCGACTTCCAGGATACGACATGACGAAATGATGGACATTATAATGGCACAGGCGCAAGCGCAAGAAGACGAAGGAAATGACTATTTTGGGTTGCGAAAGTTCCTCGAAAGGATATTCGAAACTCATCAGGACATGGCTGTCTATCTTGGGCCCCAAGAACAAGACCAATTGCGCTACAGTGTGCCGTTGTCCGCGGGTTACGTGGTTAACGAAACGTTTGCAGGATTCCTATACAACACATTCGACTCTCCATCCTCAACCGAGTTGCAAACACATGTGGCAGCGCTCTCACCAGACTTTCACTTTGATCAGTGGGTAGATTTTCATCTCTTTGGTAGCAACGACAATGCCACAGTCTTGATCCCCTCCTTTCCCACTGGAGATACTACGACAGATATTTTGGATCCACCTTTTGGAGGCAATCCAGAGGGAGCTACTCTCATTCAACTTTCCGCCGTGAGTTCGGCCTTTGGTGGACCCACCAGTCCAGAGGTACCATCCTCTTTTGCCCAACTGTTGTCAAGACCTCGAGCCGAGATACTCGAGTCAAAGGGCTTTCTCGCACAGCGAGCATTTGATGAAGCAGTGAGGAAGCTTTACGAATCAGAGTCTCTGGATGAGATGTCCATTTGCAGTCAGTGGCCCACACGTCCCTGTGGTGCCAAGGATGGGCGATTCATCGATGGAGGGCTGGCGGACAATCCTGCAGTGGTCATTAACGTTGGGCAATACCATCAGCAGCAAGATGCCAATCTGACCAAGACGCTCAAGTTGGTCCTCACCAACACCAATGACCATCTGAAATTGTCGCTCAACTCCATCTTGCAATACTTTTCAACAACCTTCAATCAGGAAGTTGCTCCCGGTGAACATGTCTGGCCACCGGGATTCTTCGGGCCCATCCGATCAACGCAGTTCATGGAACACTTCCTGGACGAAGCAACCTTGCTCAAAATGTTGGACCCTATCGGCGACAATCCCAGCAGCAACACCTCCACAGCCGTACTCCGGGGGACGACCATTGACAATCCAGCCTTTGGAATTCGAGCAGGACAAGTGATTGAAATCTTGCTCATCAATTTAAATGCCGATATCACCACATACATTGCCGGACCTAACCTTATTCAAGCGACTACAGTTCCAATGGCGGAGATGACACGAGATCTTGCCGCGAGTCAAGAGTTGGTGAGACGAGTTCAAAACTTTTTTGGACTCGTTTCGTCTTCGAACGATGGAACCAGTAGCGCCACGACACCCGTGCCTTCCGTAAATGAGGGTGCATCAATAGGCGTGAACCGCAAGAGTTTCCAAGGGAAATGACGGCAAAGGCCGTAACATCAGAAGAACCAAGACAGCGTCATCTTCGGCAGTCCAGGTCTATTATTCCTTCATCGTCGTGGCAACGTCTCTCTTGGTTGTGGCCTGCGGCTTTTTGTAGCATTGAAGTTTGCTTCCACAGAGTGGGTCTCCCGTGGGTCCAATGAAGAGTTTATCCGAAGGAATAGGGATACCGGTACCCAGCTCCTGCGCTCAACACTGACACAAATTCAACGCACCGGTAACCTGCTCTCTTTGCTCCGAACAGATAGCATGCTACCTCAAACCAGCTTTTCAAACCATTTTGTTCCAGTGCGCCCCGGAGCTGTACCGGAACCGTACGGTACTATCACAGGCGATGACGGTGACAAGGTTTAGTCACTACAGAGTACAGAGTGGTTATGTTCACGTACGAGGGGAACTTTTAGGTCCATTTTGCACCTGCCGTTCGTACCCGTACCGTGTACTGCCACCATGGGTGGTATCAAGTCCGTTGTGTACCGTAGGCAGTGGAGAGCCATCTTCAGAAGTTGGCAGCCAGCAGTGTATGACAGCTCTACAGCTTTTAGAAATCTAAATTGAAGAAGGAGTGACATCACAGTGGACAGAATGAGACAAAAAGATACTCTCCGTATCATAGCTTTGTACTAGAATGTACGATGTTGAAGAGGGGGTGACACGATCGAGCTTCCGAAAGGGTTCTCGTGCCCCAGCTGCCCTGCCACGTTCTTTTCTTCAGAAGCCTTGTTTTTGATAGCAGCTTATTTTCGGGCCGGCATTCTTTCGTCATATCCAAAACGCCACGCAACAGATCTGCATGTGGATTGGCCAATTCTTTGGCAGATGCACGCCTGTACTGGTACCGGTATCTTCTTCGCTTCATCAGTCGTATCATATAGTGCCTTCATCCTCAACAGTGGCCGCATCTTCCTTATCCATTATCCGATTGAATCATTCTCTATTCATCAGTCATCTTCTTCTTCTTCTTCCTCTGGCCCTTTTGCTTCTACCTTCCAGCTCTACAATTATTCATTCGTACCCCCACGATCGATCGACCTACGCTACCCTAACATCTTGAAAGCATGACAACGAAACTAATGGATACGAAAAAGCGTTCTGGCTGGCCCAGGAAGACCTCGTGGATTCTCTGTACCATGGCTGCGACGACGGGGTATCCACAAGCAGTGCAAGGATTCCAACAACAGTTCTTGGCTCCCAGAACAAATCGGGCCGTGCCTGTGGCGTCTCCATCGATTCTTCCCGCCACTAATACCGCCTTGTTTTCGATATTATCTTCCGACAATAGTAACGATGAGAATACCCCCCGACCTGCCACTGCGACGAGTCCTTTGGAAGAATCCTTTTCGTTACGAGATTGGACCCTGAAAGCAGAACAACAGTCACAACAAGAGGAACAGGAAACCGTGGATCATAACCGGAACAGTAACAGAAGAATACACAAGGGCAACAACAACAATAATAACAACAATAGTGGAGAAGAAAAATGGTACGAACAAGCCGAGTACCAAAATAAACGACAACAACGAAGACGTTGGCTCGAAAAGACGACGGACAGTTTGATACAGAGTGAACCGGGGACTCTTGTCAAGGGCAAATGGCACGAACTCACGTCCATGTTGTATGCCTGGAGTTCCTTTACCAAAACAGATGCCGATGCGCCGTTGCGCATGGAAGCCATTCTCAAACGACTCCATCAAGAACGACGAGCCGGAAACCGAGAAGCCAAGGCGGATATTGAAATGTACAATCGACTCCTCGATGCATGGGCGTGTGCGGCACTGTTCAAAACACAACCATCCGCCAAGGTGGCGTCGCAACGAGCAAGAGAAATTCTTGTGCTCTTGCAGGAAACTTACGAACAACAACAATTCGCACAAGAACAGGACGACTCGTCAATAATCATGGAACCATCGCTCATGCCCAATGAAGAATCGTTCAATCTCGTCTTGCACGTCGTGTGTCGCGTCGAAGGGCCGACTATTGCGAGACGATTGTTGGCCTTTATGGAATATCTACATCGAAGTGGAAAAAATCCATTGGCCAAACCCAAAAGAACGGATTACGTTTCCGTACTCACGGCATACACCCATCCCAAATTTCGGGTCGGAAATGCCGGTGCCTTGGTCGAGGGATTCTTGAGACACATGAACATTACCGGAGGTGTCGCACCGGATACATTTTGTTACAACTTGGCCATCAAGGCATGGAGTCAGTCTAAGAAGGGACGAGAGGCCGCCGAACATGCCGATCGCATATTGGAGGAAATGCAAGCACCCAAAGATATTGTCACGTATGCGTCCGTGATTTCGGCATGGTCCACCAGTGGCATGCGGGCTCATGCCGTACAACGAGCCGAAGAAGTACTACGGCAGATTGAAAATGAACCGCACTTGGAACCAAACACCATTGTTCTCAATGCCGTCATGTCCACATGGGTCAAATCCAGGAGTCCGGGGGCATCCAATCGAACGGGAGAATTGCTCAAACACATGGAAGAATCGTCCTTGCCGTCGATTCAGCCGGACCTCATCACCTACAACACGCATTTGCATGCACTGTCGCTACAGGCCAAGAAACCAGGAATGGCACAACGGGCCGATGCCTTGTTGCAGAAAATGGAAAATCGGTACGCCCGCGGCGAGGTGGACTTTGCTCCGAACCTGTTCAGTTACAATTTGGTCATTGAAGCATGGTCCAAAGCACCCAATGCCGCCATGAAGGCTGCTCACGTGCTTCGGAAACTCGCCAAAGCCAAAGGGGTCGAGCCAGATACATTTTCATTCAACCAGGTATTGGCTGCCTTGTCGAGGTCGTCCATGACGGGGCAGGCCAAAATGGCAGAAGAATTGTTGGATTACATGGTAAAGGCACACCGCGAAGGAGTACATCCCTATGCCAAACCGGATCACAAGGGGTACACTCATGTCATTCAAGCACATGCTCGTAGCGGAGTGCCCGGGGCGGCTGTCAAGGCAGAGCGACTGTTGCAGCACATGAAGGATCGCTACTTTTTGCACAAAGAGGGAAATATCAAGCCCAATCGGCATGTGTACAACGCGGTAGGTATTCTCATGCTGCTTGTTGTGATTTTTTAGAATGGTGATTGACAATCTCACATTCTTCTCTCTTTCACGTATGTTAATTGCACAGGTCATTCACTGCTGGGCAAAGAGTGGTGAAGGAACTCTGGGAGCACGTAAGGCGGAAGCATTGCTGAAGGAAATGCAAACACTTCGAGAACAGTACAATGACGAATCCATGGCTCCAAACCTTGTCACGTTCAACTGCGTTTTGAATGCATGGGCGCTCAGTGGTACCCGTTGTTGTGGCCACAAGGCGGAAAGTTACCTAAACCAAATGTGGGAGCTCTACAACGCTGGAGACAACAACCTTGTAAAACCCAACGACAAGAGCTACAACACAGTTATCAATGCTATTTCCAAAAGCAAGAATGAAGCCAAAGCGCAGCGTGCTCTTCGGATTCTTCGACGAATGGACAAATTGTATCAGGCAGGGGTGAACAAAGAGGCTCGGCCCAATGAGGTAACGTACACGGCTGTATTGAATAGCTGTGCTTTCCCGGCAGTGCTCGACGAAAAAACGAGGCGCAAGGCACTTGACACTGCCATTTTCACCTTGGAGGAATTGAAGGCTTCGAGGTATGGGCACCCGAACCAAATTACTTACGGGACCTTCTTCAAAGCATGCGCCAATCTACTTCCCGACGATGACAACCTGCGTCGTGCAATCATTCAAGAAGCTTTTCTGCAATGCTGCAAAGATGGTCAAGTTGGCGATCGGGTGTTGGCTAGTTTCCGGGATGCGTCTCCTGCCGATTTGTACGACGAGCTCGTTGTCAGTGCCGTGCAAAGCAGCCCTCCCAGACAGAGTTCTCGGCGTGTCTCTGTGCGAGACCTCCCAAAAGAATGGTCGCGCAACAGCCTGCGACCGAGGTCGGCACCGAACAAGAGACGATCTGTGCCACAACGAAACCGATACCGGCCGTAACTGTGGATACCGGTACATGGAGAAGTAAAAACTGCAAATAAATAGACATACGGTAGACCCGATGATATTTATTGTTACAAATATGAATAGCTCACCTGCCTTTGGAGAAACCCATGCAGGACGTGCTCTTCTCTGCAAGTTCGTTTGCAAGCACTACGCTTCCGAGAAATCAAAACCGAAATCCTCTAATGAGTCTGTTGTGACCAAATCATCAAATCCCATCCCGTCCACCAATCCGCCCAAACCATCCTCCAGGAACCCAGATCCCCCTAAGGATCCTTCGGACTTCATGCTCTTTACCGAGGAAGGACTTGCCAGGTCTGGCAGGGTGTTAGCCTGGGCTTGAGTCGCTGATTTTCTCTTTTTGCTGTTGGTCTGTGCGGCTGGGAACTCTCGAGGGATCAAGGTGACAAAACGAGCCGGGATATGATATTTTGGCAGCACACCGGTATGGTCTGCATTGTTGATCGATTGATTGATTGAATGGTTACAATTTAATCGGTGTTTGATGTCAGTCGAGTTGAAATCAATGCTCCACCACAGATGCTCTTGACAACGTACCCGCTTCGTCACCATCGAATTCCACAACGATAATGTCATCATCTCCCCGACAGTAGGTTGTGTTGTCCACCACAGTGGCAGAGTAGAGAGAGGTCGTTTGAGGATACATGGCGTACACTCGCGATCCTTTCTTGGAACTAACATAAACAAACAAAGTAATGCAACACCAATGACAAGATAGTGAGTTCGAGGGTACCTGGTACCGGTAGGTATCATTCATCACTCTGTGAATACATGTAGTGTATGAGAAACGCACCGTTGACACCATTCGGCCGCTTCCGAAAAGGTTCGTGGCAATGGCAACACCAAATTGCGCGGGACTCGGTTGATGACTCCTTCCTTGTCTTCGACGTCTTTAATGGCGGCTTTTTCTTTAAAATGGGCATCCCGTTTGGCTTCTGTCAAATTCAAAAAGTCATTGGGCGGCATTCCAAATCCTGGATAATCGGCTTGAACACGGGCTAGAATCCACAAATCTCTGCTGGACACTCGTGCCGCAACGAAATCTCCCTCTTTGAGTGCCCGGAATCTTGTGACTTCAAAGATTCGGAATTGATGTTCCTTTTTGGAACAGATGCGTTTCCCCGTGGCATCAAATTCGGCAATGGGAATGGTTGGTTCCGTGGACGCTGGCAATTTTTTCTTGCGATGTTTGCGCAATGTGGATCCAGCCGGTCCGCCAGGAGTGGCTTGAGGAGCTGTACTGTTGTTTTTGCTGCTCTTCTTTTTCTGTGTAGTCGTAGTATTGTTGCTGTTGTTGTTGTTGCTTTGAGCCAAGGAAGCCAAGGAAATGGAATTGTCCGATGCACGACGTTGTACCGCATCGGAGGAGGACGTGACGGGCGGCGCCGTTGGAGACGACGACGACGTGACTTTGGGCGGCGATGCATTGACCGGCGGCGCCGGCGAGGATGGTTTCGGATTGGGACTGCTGGTGGTAGCGCTGCTGCTGCTGATAGTGGCCAATGCCATGGAGGCTGGATTCGTGGTGGTGCTAGTTTTCGTAGTATTGGGTGGTGCCTTGGGCCAGGTTCCTCCTTGATCGAGGGGCAATGGCGTAAATGCCGCAATGGCCGGATCCATGTCGGTCAAGATGCTTCGAATGGCATTCTGCAACGTGACACACCACTGTATTCCCACTTCGAGTTCGGCTTTGAGTTTTTTGGCCGTCCGCGTATTCATAATTTCCTTTTTGAGACTTTCTTCGGCCGCTTGATCGGGCGCATCACGCTTCTTTCCACCGTCTTTGTCCTTGCTGGCTGCCGTGGCGGCTTCCTTGCCTCCTCCAGCAGCAGTGGCTGAAGCAGTATTGGAAGAAGAAGCAGTACTGGGAGTTTCTTTCGGTGGATCCTTTTCTTTTTCCTTGGCGGCGGCATCTTCATCTTTTTTCTTTTGCGAATGCGCTGCTTGTCGTGCCCGTTGTCGTTTGAGTCGTTGGACATTGGACGTGGCCGACAGGAATCCATTGTTAATGTTTCCTCCGAGCAATTGTCTTGAGACCCAAATAGTCTTGTCAACCCAATCGCTTTTGGAGAGCAGCACGTTGGTGGCGGCTTCATTGCGCGTGGCAGCGGCCAATGCCCCAATCGAGGAGGTGGCGGCTTTGAGCGACGGGGGAGGAGGAATGATCGTACTGGAAACGCCACGGCCCAGTGTGGTGGGTTTGGGAGGTGCCATGCCCTTGGCTTTTGAGGGACTGCTGCCCTTATTGCTCAATAAGGAAGCACTGCTGGAAGCGGACGTTAACGGGGGTGGTCTCGTCAAAGAAGCGGGGGCCGGTGCCAACGGATTGCCATGTTGCTTGGACTGCATTTGTTGTTGTGACCGTTGCTGCTGCATTTGCATCAATCGTTGTTGTTGGGCATTGCCCCATCGCTGCTGTGTTTGTCCTTGTGGTTGACCTGCAAATTGTGGGAAATTGGCATGATTCTTATTACTAGTGTTGTTCTTGTTGCTGTTGCCTTGAGAGGAGGACATGACTACATGTATGATGGGGAGTGAGTGCTTTGTCAAGCTTGCTAGCTAGAGTGGTACCGTACTATAGATAAGTTCTAAAGGTTACAGTATAGCTGATTGTACATGGAAGCTTTGAAGAGAGAGGAAAGCGACGGCAAGCTAGCAAGTGGCCATGGTCATTGGAGTGTCATGGTCGTCGGTTTTGGTTCTGTCAGAGAAGCCTTTTTCCCAGATTATTTTTGCCTCACTCAAGGATTTATAAACGTCAATGCACGAGTGAAACGACAAAATAGTATCCGCGACCAGACGTACATCCCCATGGGGCCCATCCTTCAATCCTCAACGCCCAGCTTTCTTTTATACCACCGGTACGTAATCTACAAGCTCTTCCTTCCCAATCGTGATCCTGGAATTGACCTCTTCCGACTTCCGATTGTGCTCACATTGCTCTTGATCCTTCTATCAGCGGTCCCAAGAAGAAGAAGAGGCAGCAACCATGAAGCTCGAGCTGTCCATATACGCAAGAGGGCTCAAGGTGGGTACCGTATCGTAGCTACCCAAATTGAATTGGGTTTCTTCTGTCAATCTACCATTCAGCAGTTGGGCCTCTCATTTGTTTAACCTTCTTCTCTTCTTTGCACTCACCATCAGAATGTGGCAGGCTTTGGCAAGGGAACGTCAGATCCTTTTGCGATTGTCACAAGGCTGTCTGTTAACGAAAACGAAAAGCCCGAAGTTATTGGAAAGACGGAAGTGTAAGTTACTCTTGGTATCTTCCATTATCATCGAAAGAAGAATCTCCTTTTGACGAGCTCAATGAGCTACCTTTACATGAGATGCCGATCACTGCCTGTCTCACGGAAACCTTTCTTTCTATCTATCTTTATCCGTTTCCAGTGTCAAGAACAATCTAAGCCCCGACTTTGTCAAAGTCTTCAAGGTAAGACTATAGTCTAGATTTTCTCGCGGAATCTCTTGAGTATTACATGTATCCAATGGCTCTAACTTGTCTTCTTTTGTCACCTCTGGCTATTGATGTACTATTTCCAGCTCGAATACGGACTTGGAACTCCACAGAGGATAGCCATTAATCTGTTTGATGAAGTACGCAAAAAGACCAACATTGGCATGGGATCCGCCGTTTTTGATGTGGGTGAATTGCTCGGTGCACGTGGGAACACACAAATCAAAAAGTTGAAAAAAGGAGGACAGTTGGCGGCGACTGTACGCAAATCGGAGGGATCTGGAATTCTGCGGCTCAAAATGAGAGGTGAAAAACTCAAGAATACAGAAGGAATGTTTGGTAAATCGGATCCCTTTTTTGAGTTGAGCCGGAAGGTTGCCTCCACAGGAGGGCAAACTTGGTACGTACCGTATCGAGCGATTGATTTCCTTCCTTTCTCATCTCGTTTATTACTAACTTTATTTTCTGTTGCTGTGCAGGGACAACGTCTACCGTTCGGCCCACATCAAAAACAATCTGAATCCGGTTTGGGATGAAGCAACGGTAGAATTGAGTGTCCTGTGTGGAGGGAATTTAGATCATCCCTTATCAATCACTGTCTACGACCACGAAAAATCCGGTAAGCACGTTCTCATGGGGCACGCCGAAACCAGTGTCAATGGCTTGTTGCAAGCATACAAAAATGGGGCAGCGCGACCAATGCAGCTCTCCAAAAAAGGAAAAACTACAGGCAGCTTGATTATCACAAAGGCTGAAACGGAGGGTATTATGGATGAACCTCCTACAGCGCAAATGGCAGCAACCAGCATTAGTCCCACAGCGCCAGTCATGTCCGTGCCAGTTACCACGGCTACTGCCACCGGAGTGGCTGTGGGATCCGCCGCACGATCCTTTGCTTCGGCTCCGCAATCCACGAGCAAACAAGGATTGTTTGTCGATTACGTCAGTGGAGGATGCGAATTGAACGTTTGTGTGGCGATTGACTTTACGGGAAGCAACGGAGACCCGAGAAAGGCGGGAACATTGCATCATATGTACCCCGGCGAAAGGAATTCGTATCAAAAGGCCATTGCAGCCATTGTATCCATTCTTTTGCAGTACGACAGCGACAAAAAGATCCCGGTGTACGGATTTGGAGCAAAGTATAATGGAGTTGTCCGCCATTGCTTTCAATGTGGCGCATTTCCAGAGGCCGATGGCCTGAAGGGGATTATGGATGCATACGAGTCTACATTCTCTTCGGGGCTCATCATGAGCCGCCCCACGGTTTTCAATGAGGTTCTGAAAACTGCTGCCGCAAAAACCGACAAACTGTTTGAAGACGCATTAAAGCGGGGAGGACAGTCGTACACTATTCTACTTATTGTGACGGATGGGGCCGTGTCAGATGTGAATGCTACAGCTGAGTGTTTGAAAGAAGTAAGCAGCAGTCCCATGAGTGTCGTCATTGTGGGTGTGGGAAATGCCGATTTCAGAGCCATGCAATTTCTGGATGATTTCGCTCAGAGTTCTGGGACCAGAGATATTGCCCAGTTCGTGGCATTCAATGAGCACTCTCATTCAAGTCAATCTCTGACAAAGGCAACACTAGAGGAGATCCCGGAGCAAATGGTTGGGTATTTCCAAGCCAGAGAGATTGACCCTCTCCCCCCGATTGTTCGAAGCGAGGACAGCATGTCGAACATTGACTCTATGGAAGCCGAGGAAGAAATCGACTTGAGCTTAGATATCAACGAAGAAGAAATTGTTATCACAGGGGGCGGTGATAACTTTATCAACGGATTCGATGCCAAGTAGTGTTGCCATGGCGGTTTTGCTCGAGGTCAAGAAGCAAGCCGTGAAGCGACAAATGGCTCTGTGGGGCTCTGCCTCGTTGTAGTAGTATTGTGTAGATGTTCGTAAGCTGGTAGCTGGTGAATTCTTTAGCTAGCTGGTTAGATAGTAAAGCTTAATTAAGACCAGGACCATGTTGAGTGTGACAACTTTGCTGTTGCATGATGTTATCTCTGGCATGAATCGAATCGAATCAGTCGAGGCCAGGGTTCCTGTAGGGACTGGTTTGCGGCTTGTGAGCGATCCTGATACTGGTACCGAGGCGTCACGTTGGCACTTTCCACGGTGGTGGGTTATTGCGAGTACTCACCAGTAGTACTGTACGGTTCCGAGGACGTGGCTTTGAAATTTTCAGGAGGATCTTTGCTTTGACAGCATCCCGCTCAAGCAACTCAAACTGTCAGCGAAAGACAGATAGATATGCGTCCCACAACAACCGAGAATTCTGCCATGATACCCAGTGCTGTGAAGCAAGTGAAACCAAAATCTACGGGGAAGAAGAAGAAACTCCAAGCAACCAACATTCACACCGTCCCGAAGGAGCTCTCATGCGACGCACAAACCAAGATAAACGAAAGAAGGCGAAGAAAAAGAAACAAGTATCGGAAGACAACACGAACAAGGAATCCGGCAAGCGGAAGAAGAAAACTAAAAGAAGAAGCAGGAGCAACTGAGGGATGAGAAAAAACGAGGCAAAGGTCAGACTACGTCCAAGACAAACACCAAGAAGCTCGAGAAGCAAGCCAGTGTTGTCACCCAGCGCAAAGGAACAACAAAAAAGAATCAGAAGAAAAAGTCTCCCATGAGAGAACCCCTTTCCATCGCCGTTCCATTTGTGCATATCAAATTTGTGTACACGTACACAAGAGTGGGGGCACAAAGGCAAGCATCGAAATGAATGAGAATCTGGAAGAGGATAAAACTCCCACCGACCTCGGCTTCTGGCACAAGGAGAAAGTATGCCGTGGGAGTGGATATCTTGCCTGGAAACGCAAAAAGTCTGGTGACCGGAAGAGCAGTCGAAAACAGAACAGCATGGCGCGTCTCGCAAACTGCCTCCAAAGCCCTAGGATGATTGTTTCCAAACATGCCAACGAGCGATTCCACCAACGTGGTTGGCGCACACTCCCCGTTTACAGGGACAAGGTCAGCGCCAGGACCGGTGTGTCCCACACAATTGTTGCGACATATGTTCCAGCAAAACGTGAGTTTGCCGATGATGCTGTAAAGACCATTCGTCTCCAAGTCGATCACATGAATCGTTACGCCAAATGCTCTTCAAGATGGTACAATCCAAAGCTTCCTCGATTTGATGCACAAATCTACAGCATTGCCAAGAAGATTGGACGAGGGAATTGGTACACGAGGCGAAGCCGTCGACGCAGTACTGTTGGGCTTTCGAAAGGGGGACAGGCTTGGATTGCTCTGGTGACGGTGGTACTATTAATTAATAGTCGCGTGGGGGCACAAGACTCTTTGGCCAAGTGGAGGTTCTTTTGCGGACAAAAATAAGCTTCAGTATTTTTCTAACCGGTTCCATGAAACCATGAAACCATGAAACTACTAGCTAGTACTGGTACTGGCTTTTGAATGAGAACTATACTACAAAGGAATGAGATGGCCACCATCATGGCAACCGTGTTGACCAAATGGTCTCTAGCTCCATCAATAAATTGTTGTTCTAGCCAAGGTTCTTGGAGAAATAGCACTGAAACATACTCGCAGACACTCCCCTTGAAATCTTTGGCTAGCTCCAAGGCTTCTACTGTATGGAGCCACCATGGAAAATCTGGCTTGAATTCCGTTTTGTTGCGATTTTGCCAGCGATTTCTGCGGTTGTCACTTCCACGGAACGGTACGTGTCCCGGTACGCAGGCACATCGTGGATCCATGTTTCGGGAGGTGGATCTTTCTTTCCGTGGACGCTGGATCCAAAAGATCTAACACGCCTCACACCCAGCCAACGCAACAGCCTTTTGATCTTTGACACGCTTGATAAAGGATTCGATTCCATTCCAACAAACAAGATGAAGCTAGAGGTATCTATCCATGCATCCAAGCTTAAGAATGTGGCAGGTAATTCGAGACGATCCAAGGGTTGTGTTGGTGACTGTTTGCTGCAAGAAGTTCTAATCTGAAAGTCTCCTTTTTTCTTTAAAAGGCGCATTCAAAGGCACATCGGATCCCTTTGCGGTGGTAACCAAATTATCGACCACACCAGGCGAAAAGCCCGTCGTGCTGGGAAAGACAGAAGTGTACGGATCCCGGCGTTTTTCAATGCTTATTTTCGTTTTGCCATCATGACAGAGTCTATAGCTAGCATAGTAGATCTCTCACCATCTCTGGATTAATCTTTTTTGGGATTGCAGGATAAATGACAGCCTCAGTCCGGATTGGGTGAAGGTCTTTACTCTGGAATATTCCATGGGAACGCCATGTAAAATTGCCATTAATCTGTTTGATGAAGTAAGTTGAAAGAATGTTGCTGGAATATAGATGTGCATCTTTCGTTTTTCTGTACCAGTAGCAGCTGACATTGTTCATGACTGGGTTTTGAAAGGTCCAAGAAGGGAAAAATCTATCTATGGGTAGCGCTGTCTTCGATGTGGCAGAATGTCTCGGTGCTCCAGGAAACACCAAGGCCAAAAACTGAAAAAGGGTGGAACGTACGTAGCAGCCATTCGGCCGGCTATTGCTTGAATATTGTCTTGTTTCTTTGCCCGAATTAACCTCAAACACATTATGGCTTTGTTTTATGAAGGATCTATGTGGCCATTCGCAAGTCACAAAGCTCAGGAACCTTCAGGTTCAAATTCAAGGGTACAAAACTGAAAAACGTGGAAGGATTCTTTGGCACAAGCGATCCCTTCTTTGAAATTGCTCGAAAGGTAGAGTCTTCAGGAAGTCAAAGATGGGACAATGTCTTCCGTTCGGAGGATATACGCAACAATCTAAACCCAGAGTGGAAAGAAGCAACCATGGATCTGAGCGCTCTCTGCGGTGGTGACCTGGACCTGCCTCTAGAAATCAGCGTCTTTGACCACGAAAAGAGCGGCAAGCATGACCCCATGGGACGTTTCGAGACCAGTGTGAACGGTCTGATCAACGCCTCCAAGAGCAATAGCAGCCTAACGCTGACCAACAAACACAAACATTCCGGCACGATCGAAATCCTGACGGCGGACGTCAGTGGCATCCAGCAAATCACCCAGGGTATGCAGCAAATGACATTCTCTCCGCCGCCTCCTACACCCGCCTCTCGAGCCACGTTTGTCGACTACGTGAGCGGTGGGTGTGAATTGAATGTAGTGGTTGCCATTGATTTCACTGGAAGCAATGGAGATCCTCGAAAACCAGGAGCCTTGCATCACATTGATGCCAATTCCAGGAACCAGTACGAGCAGGCAATGGCCGCTCTAGTGTCCATCCTGCTCAAATACGACAGTGATCAGATGATTCCAGTGGTGGGGTTTGGAGCCAAGTAAGTGGTAATCGACAATTCAACTATTCTCCGGCTCTACCATTGGTTTGTTCACCTCTCAACCCAACTCTTGAAACAGGTATGGCGGTGTTGTCCGTCATTGTTTCCAGTGCGGGCCAACACCTGAAGCTCATGGTTTGAACGGAGTGATGGAAGGCTACAATGCCGTGTTCAGGAGTGGACTGATCATGAGTGGACCTACTGTATTCACAGAAGTCATGGAAATGGCAGCATCTCGAGCCCAAAGCGCTCAACAGGCAGCGGCCGCCAAAGGGAAACAAGCCTACATGGTGCTCCTGATCCTTACAGACGGAGCTGTTTCAGATGTAAACGCCACGGCTGCATGTTTGAGCAGGATCAATGACAACCCTCTCAGTATAGTGATTGTGGGAGTTGGTAATGCAGACTTTGGAGCGATGCAGTTCTTAGATGACGTCAATGCTGGAGCCAATGGCCGACGCGATATTGCACAGTTTGTAGCCTTCAATCAGCATGCACATTCCAGCCATTCCCTGACGAATGCAACTCTTGCTGAGATTCCGCAACAATTGCAAGGATACTTTCAGAGCAAGGGCATTGCCCCACTTCCACCCGTCATGCGACAAGATGAAGAAATCGTTGTTGGGGAGGCAGAGGATGAAATTGATCTGAGCTTGGATATTGGAGCAGGCGAAGAAGAAATTGTGATTACGTCGGGAGGAGACGACTTTGTCAATGGTTTCAACGCTTCTTAGTTTTGATTAGTCTGTAAATAGAGCATGGAACTCTTGGAAATACCATATAGCCAGCTAGCTAGTTGCCACAGCGACGAGTGGTCGAGAACATCCGCCAATCATGTACATGGTTTCAAAGAGTTCTTCACATCCCCAGCACACGTGGAGTGGCTCCAGCAAGCACCTAGCATCACTCATCGTGCCTTCGTGCATAGGCCCCAGGTGGCGACGCTTTGATCACCCAATCAACTTTGTTGCGGGTATCCGTCCAGGCGATCACTTGGGCAACACTCAGCAAATGGTTCACTCCATTTATTCTTCAAAAGTCTCTTGCTTCTTTCCTTCTTTCTGCTTTGGCTTTCGAATCTGCCAAACCATACCAACCCTGTTGAGCTTCTCTACTCTTGCGTCACTGAGCTTTCCATCTCTTTTCGCAGTGCGCAGGGTCCCTATCCATCTACCCAATCTTCCGCAACGCTGTGGTACCAGACAGTTACCATGTTCTTTGTGAAACTCAACCAACTCTTTTAGTCGCTCTTCGAATGTCGCATCGAACACCTTCGTGGAAACATCAGTCTTCTTCTTGTGGATTTGCAATGCCCATTCAAATCCAATGACTTCTAGTTTGACCTTTGCTTGAGAGAGTTTGTACTTTTTGTACAGAGCCCTTTGCTTTCCAACCCATCGACCTAACAGCAGATGTGCCACTGTTACTCTACAATTCCCATGTTCTTCCTTGAACGCCAACAGCTCTTCATATCTTTGATACCACAGGTCGGACGGACCCGCGTTTGGGGATGTATCATGGAGATAACCACCGTGGTGTTGTGGCACTGCATTTCGATTGGGAGGAGCACCTGGGTCCACAGGGGCGGGACTATTGCAAGAGAGAGCAATCAATGAGCAGTTGTTGTTGGCCTGGGCTTCTCCGAAAAAGCTTGTACTTACCAACGAGGCGTATGATTATTGGCCAAGGTGTCGAATGCTTGGTGAGTGATACGTGGCTGCTGTGGGTTGGGTGGTTGAGACATTGCCACCTGCCATTCTCGGATGCAGTCTAGGGAAGAGTTTATTGTTGATTGTTTCTGCATCACAAGTTGTTGGGAGCTCCCTGGGCAAGATGGCTAGATTGGGTTCCTTCTCTACCAGCTCTAAAAGAACCAGCACAAGTGTTCGTATATGACTTTCATAAAACATGAGTAAACAGAAGGGCGCAACATGGCTGGTCAATTTTGCCATGAGGTACTTTCTGCCAGCTTCCCACGCGGTGTTCAGATTGTACTGGAACGCAGTTGCCACCGCTTGCACCATCAGGTCAACATCCAGAGAAGCACCTATCTCCTGATTGGTTAGATTCTCCATGTATGCTGTCAACGCCTGATCACAAAGCTGCCGACAGCCCACAAAATCATATTCATCGTACGGCTTGGCCGTCTGCATTGCCTGATCCGCAGTCATGCCATAGGCTTTGGATGGGTCCAATAGATATTCCGTCATGGCATCCCATGTTGCAATGTCAATATCAGGAAAACTAATCTGAAGACTCTGCTTCTCTCTCATTTGCACAGACAGCATGGTATCAATGTGTACTTGCTATGAGTCGCCATCACGGCCGAGTGATACCACTGCTCCATTTTCCCCCTGGCATCCTCTTTTTTGCCCACTGTGATCTTCAGGTCCGCTTCCCATGACTTGAGATCCAAGGCAGCATCCTTGAGCCGTGGCCTTTTCTTTGTGGGAGGCCCATCAGTGTCATTTTTGTTATCATTGTCACTCATCTTTGTATCAGTATATTGTCGGTTGTTCCTTTGTGCTTTCACCAAATGAAGGGAAATCGATTCGATTCGATTCGGCCAATGCCGCAAATCACCAACCACGACTGCGTCGCCCACCACTGGATTTTCCCCTCCACTGGATTAGTCAGTCATGCCTGATTTTACCTAGCATTTCATTTTCAGAGCCAGCATTTGACCCCAGCACATCTACTAATAGAGACACCCTAGCAACACTTTGAGATATGGAATACATAATTTGGACGTGCCGGTCGCAGTGGTGGTAGTGGCTTGTCCATTTGGTGGCCATGGGAGCAACGAATGGCAGGCAAAGTAGGGCTGCCATTCTTACCATTTCCCCCATGAAAAATGAAGCATCTAGTTTGACTTTTATTTAAAAGATAATGCCTGCTACATGGCTGCAACCTCAAACGGCAGTAAAAGCGGTCCTCAACAGGATTTGCTTGGCCACCCTGCTGTCCTCTATGAAAGAGCCATCTGATCCCCGATGCACCAGTTGGCTCCAAGTCCTATGGATTCATTGCTGAAGCAGCGCTGGGGATAAAGAACACCGACCCCAGCACTCGTCTCAAACTGGTAAAAGGGGTGCAGGAAGATGTGGGCGGTAAGACACAACGAATCAGGCAGACTGGATTGAAGCACAACAAATACAACAAGCTGAGGCTCTTCCTTCAAAAACAAGCTCTGAACAATGGTCCTTATCTTCTGATTATTCCTATTCTTCCCCTGGCTACAGTGCTTGGGTGGGACGAAACTGATCCGAAGAAGGATTACTCCTACGATGTTATGATATGTGCCCCACCCCCCCTGGTCAGGATGATGAAACGATCCAGAATTATGAAGCGATATACAAGCAGCTGTTCACCAATGTCGAAGACAGTTCAATCTGCATACCTGAAGAAATTAAGACTGCCTCGGAGTTGCTGTCCACTTTTGCTGAAGCTATGGCAACGTCCACGTTCAATGACGACATCATGGAAGCCATGACAAGCGACAATACTAAAACTCGCGATGTCGCCGCTGTCGCTGGGAGAATCAAACAAGCAAGAGATAAAAAACAAAAAGTTGCAAATATCGATCTTCCTTCAGTCTTCCCAGGGATTTTGGACATGAAAGATGCAGCAGCCATGGCCAAGGCGGGTATCAGGGTTGTCAAGGCTAGAGTCACCAAAAAGACGTCACTTCCTCATCCTTATTTGCTTGCTGTCAAGGCAGCAGCGAATTGGTTTGCTGGTCGAAACACACCAATGTTACCAGCAGGTTCTGTGAGCGACTTGTGGTCTGTTTCTGATTATGACACTCATGGCTCATATTACAATGACGATTTTTATCCCCAACCGGCAGCACAGGATGATCTCGCTTCAGTCTGGTTCACATGTCCATGTTGAGCTCTTTTCTTGTGACTGAGGTACTGGCATAAATAACCACATCTAAGAAGCGCATTTTGGGCAGAAAGTGGTAAGGTCAACTATCGCCATGACTCCGAGCTCAGCAATGTGGTAGCACACTTGCTCCTGCCTGGACTGGTACGTCACCGTATATAGAGTTAGGGTTTTCAGGGGATCAGTCAGTCGGTCAGGAGGGGCTCCGGTGACGTCACTCTCGGTACCCCACAGAGACCAAAAGGCCACTTTTCAGCGAGCCATCATCAACCCCCGAAAACCCGTTGTTTGGACCCGCGTGCGGGTCAATGCGAGTCTGCAACGGGTCTTCGAGGGTTTGTGCGGGTTGTGCGGGTGAAGGCGAGTTTAGTCGATCACAGTTCATTCCCACTCAACCACTCGTATTAACTTACACTGTCAAGCACTTACTTGTTGGTTGGCTGTGTGAAGCTGATCACGATGGCCGACAATGGTCCTCTCCTCATCCACCCTCTTATTATTCTTCGGAAGGGGCTAACGATGTGCAACATTGCTGTGGAAGTTCAGCAGAGGAGGTATGAATCAACCAACATTCGCGTCTTCAAGGCTCATTTTGGGCGTCACCCTCGTCACATTGCACGAGTGTGGAGAGACCTCCAGATATCTGGAGTGATGACACGGGATGAAGCTGAAGATGAGGACTATTTGTGGGCTTGTTGGTGGCCTGCAATTTCCTCCGATGTTATGAGACAAATGACGTTCGAAATGCCCGCTTTCACAAATACATGCATGAAGATAAAATGCAACAATTTACTTGGATGTTTATCGATGCTCTCGTGGAGTTATACGAATGGAAAATCAAATGTCCAGCAGTGTGGCCAGTAATGATGGGAGCTTCTGTAGATGGCACTCAGAAACCTACGAACGAGCCAAGAGATGATAATGTACGACGCAACAGGAAGAATTTTTGCTACAAGTACAACATCGCCGGTTTGAATTATCAAGTAGCTCTTGCTACTTGGACAAACCGAGTTCTTTACTCTCGAGCAGATCCTGGAAGCACCCATGACATTACTGCCATGCGAAAGGAATTTATTGGAATGATTCCTGCCGGTTGCCGTGTTATTGCCGATTCTGGATATACAGGCAAAAGCGATCATGAGAAGGAAGTCTTTGCAGTCAAAAATTGTCTTGACGATGATGAAGTTGCCAAATTCAAAGCTATTGTAAGAGCCCGGCAAGAGTGTTTCAACTCGCGTATCACTTCGTACAAGTGTTTTAAACAGAAGTTTACCCATGGAATTGATAAGCATCCAAAGTGTTTCAAAGCTGTCGTGGTGCAGCTACAATACGCAATCGAAGATACCTCAGACGCCGGTGAGCCACTCGATACAGTCTAGATAATGCATAATAGAAAAGTTTGGTCACTGAACTGCTACTAGTATCTTTAATGGGTCTACATCCTGACATTTGTCTGTCTCTAGTTACTTTCTCTTGGGAGCAGGCTCGGCAGTGTCTGCATCATCGAGTTCTTCTTCATCATTGTTTTCTTCAGTTTGATTGATATCACGCTTCTTCTTACCGGTGCTGCCTTTGCTTATAATACCGGTCTCTTGCGTAGCCAGGATTTTGTCAAGCTCCTCTTTCTGCTCTTGGACGTATTGGTCCAGATGTAGGAGCTGAAGCTCAATGAAAGATGTATCCTCTCCACGGGCCTCAATGTCGTTGTAGTACTCGAGAAGGATTTCCTCAGCAAGACGTTCGCGAGCCTTTTGCTGAAGCTCACGATAGTACTCTTCGCTTTCGTAATACAAAGGATCAACAAGATCTTCTTCTTCTTTGTCTTCCTCATCCTCTGGATCGTTCTCTCCATTGCCACTCGCATCTTTGTTGCAGAGTTGCGCTTCAATGTCCGCTGCAGTTCCTCCGGCACCTTCTATTTCTACTTCCATTTTGTCGCCATCAGCGCTAGGAGCTGGAACGACAGTTGTATCTAAGAAGAACAAATACATTAAACAAACAGCTTAGTACATTACTGGGTCAACCAAGATGATGCACATTCTTCTAAGCAGTGATGGTCGCACCGTTCATCAATTTCAACATGACCTCATAGGCGTCTTCCTCGGGAGCATCCTCTTCCGCGTCTTCCAAAGAATCGACTATATAGGCGCGCCAAATGACAAAGAGCTCCGTGACAGTGCTCTTCTTGTTGTTCTTGGCATCAATGACAGTCTCATATGAGTAAGGCAGTGGAATCATTTTGAGGCTCCATCCTCACAGCCTGGGGAGAAGTATTCATTGGAAACTTCAAAGTCTTGAGAGGAGAGATCGATAATAGTCTTCTTGGGGCGGACCGAACGTTTCTGCTTAGTGACAAGCTTGGTAAGGCTAGCATGCAGCCTTTCTCCTTTGAATGCCGCCTTGTTCTTTTTGAGGATATCCAACCAGTCGGAAGACTTTTCAAGGTAGCTCTTGCTCTTGGGCGGCCCTGTCAAGTGGATTTCCTTGCCTTCAATCTTTGCTTTAAGCAGCTTCAGCTCGGAAGGTTTCGTGTTGGGTCGAGCAATCATGATACAATGGGCTTGTTTCTTGCCTATCTTCTCATCGGTCACCATGCTGACAAGATACTCTCCGTGCTGATCCTCATTGTCGAAATCAGCGGCGTATTTCTCCACATGATCACGCCTATCACCACCACGGTTCGTCAAACGTAGAGGACTTCCGATATTGGCTGCCATCTTGCTTGTTGTTGTTTGTCTCTTAATTGTGGGCGTGGATGTGATTGCTGGTGCCGATGCTTTCTTGCTGGCTGCTGACTTCTTCTTGGCTGGCTGTGGTGGTCTTTGCTAACCTTCTTCTTTTTGTCTGCTGGTGGACAAGTAGCAGTGGAGCAGTCGGCAGTGTCACAAGACTGTGCTTCCCAAGGAAGAAAGTGTTGTTGTTGTGGAGAAGAAGAAGAAGTAGGAGAGAATTGAGCGGGTGTTAGAGCTGGCATTTCGGTGTTGCACTTGTCGGCATTGATAAGCAGGTTTTGTCGAGTCTCTAAGAAGGAGTCCTTGCTACGTTTCCATCGATCCATCAAGTTCGTAACCCGCTCTCGCTTGAATGATTCATCACATCCAAGTTGATCAGAATAGGCGTCACAAAGGTTGAGCAACCAGCGGGATTCTCGACTTGACACTTGGGGCCCTCCAGCATTGAAGACGTGACCCATGAGGAATAGTTTTGTTTGAAGATCCACCGATTGCCTTGGAAGGTTTGAATCACATGCTCGGACACAGTGACAACCTTTGAACTTGCGTCGAGCCATGTTAGAATACCAACTCGATCTCAACTTACCGGTCGCTTTTTGCTTGAAAATGGATTGATTGTGTCTCCAAACTCTTCGTCGTCAAGATCGAGTTGGTAATCTTCGTCTCGAAGCTCTCGATCCATTATTGTGGCAAGATTGTGAGAGAGTGGATCTTTGTGCATATTTTCATGGATTCAAATCAATTCCGAAATTCAGTTGTCTTCACACAAAAGCTTGAGTCAGCCAATCCACCTTGCTAAGTGTGATCAAAGCGTTCATCAACGAGTGCAAAAGATCTAGACAAAGGCTTCAACCGCCAAAGTCTGGCTGCCTTCTTGAGCACTCTTGAATCAATTGTTGTTGTGGAGGTTGATTGTCGTCTTGAAGAGTCATACAGTAGGTGCGTCCTCACCATGGCGAGTAAACCGAGACCACCTGCCACTCTCAATGATGCAACATGGATCAACAGCGCTGCTAAGCGCCTCATTGTACAGGATCTCATGGACGGAATTGTACCATGTGATCAGAAAATCAAAGACATCCCAAAGCTCTATCAAGAATTGTATGAGGGTCGCGATGAATTCAAAGATTTTCCATTCGATGAAGAGCGCTACCGAACACGCATTGAACGGCTTCAGCGTGCTGTAAAGAGGTTGCATTGGGCAGCCAAGAAGGATAGAGAGTGCTTGTTGGAGTTCCGGCAGAAATTCCCTCAGCAAACCCACGGTCCGACGGGAAAGCCCTTGTGGCGTGACAGTCAAGCCGACAAACAACTCGACAAAGATATGGTTGATGGTCTTCATGACGAAATGAGACCCAAGGAACTCTTCGAATTGAGGGACATCTACAAAGATTCGGGGTTCACACTTCGAAGGTTTACCAAGCGCATCGATCAAAAGAGGGAAGCAACCAAACCGTACGGTGTGAACCCAATGCAAGCTGCATCGAAGGCAGCCAAAAAGGATCAGACCCAGGTCAAAAACCGCCCTGAGATCAGTCGCAAGGGCATCATTGGACCCTACAACAACGATATGCCATAGTTAATAGCGTTAATAGCATAGTAGCAATAGGTTGCGGGCGGCTGAAATCCCATCTTCAACTCATTGTAGTAAAAATTTGGCTGTGGGTGTATGCGGGTATCGCGGGTCAATGCGAGAGGGTGCGGGTTATCGCGGGTTAGACGTACATTAGCACGGGTTTTTGAGGGTTAGTGCGCGGGTTAACGCGAGTAAACGATGGCCTAGCCGTTTACGGGACTCATTATTCCAGGCATACTCGCCAAACCTGACGTCACCGGAGCCCCTCCAGTAGCCAATCCAGCCACATTGCCAGCTAGCTAGTAGCCACAAAGATTCTCATTTCTCGGATTCCATGGGTCCACATTAAATTTTGAAATCGATCTATGATAACATTGACAAGTATGAGAATGCCATCCAGCGGCGCGAAGCCTTCACGCTACCAATGTTGTACGATGCAATTGCGCGTGCCAAGGTAGCCCCATGGTCTGATCATATTGACGAAGTCTTGGCCGATTGGTATGTTGTTGCCCTTCGCGCTGGACTCCGAAAGGTTGAATGGGCCCAGCCCGAATCCACCCATATTGATCCTGATTTCCCCTATCGGAACATCTACGGTGATCTCTACACAGTCTGCTTGGGTGATGTCCAGGTAAAGCTTCATGATGGCCGTATCTTGGCAGGTGCTGCTATCCTTGGCACTGCTGACAATCCCATTGATGTGTCCATGGTGGCAGAACTCTGGCTTTGTTTCCGCCAGCAGAAGAATGGAGAGAATGGGCAGTGGCGACTCTTTGTTGCTCTGTTCGGGTACCCCCACTTATGTATGGTCTGTGCAATGTTTCGAATTTTCCGGCGCTTTGTCCGCCTTCGAAGCCTCCAGGATGTGACAACCCCTTTGTCGGTGTTTGTCTACAATCGATACGGACATGTCCACTCGGTTCATCCCCAGGTCATCCTTACGTCTATGCGTGCCATTGCTGCATCTCAGTTTGGGTTTTCCCCGAGCAAAGATAAGACAAAGCTTCGACGTTGGAGCTCCCACTCTCTCCGGGTCGGAGCTTGCGTGCTTCTTTTCGAAGCCGGCTATAACGACGTTCAAATCCAATGGCTGTTGCGTTGGAAGTCCAATGCCTTTATGGACTATTTGCGAAATACTTTGGGTTTGGCTCGACGCCACGCTGATATTTTGCGCCAAAAGAACTTTGGTCCTGGCGATTCTATGCCCGACATCATGTCGTTTGCTGGCCATTATGCTCCCACTGCCATTGCGGTGGTTTAAAATAACTTTGCATCACTCCTTTTCGTTTGCAAAGCTTTGCCTCCGTGGGTTTACACCTCTAGAGTAGGTGGTTTCTCCCACTCCAGCCGTCAGCTGACTCAGTTGACATGGGGCTTCCGGCAGCTGTGTCTGCGACACGCTGCTTCGTCAGCTGGACATTGGCTACTCAGTTCAATGTTGGTTTCCAACGGTTTTGGCTAGGTGCACCAGATTGCACCTTCCAACGGTTTTGGATTGGTGCACTAGATAGCACCGTTTCCCAACTCTAGCACTATCGTTTCGACACTGCACACACATGTGTATTTAGTCGTCCCTAAATAGTCCTAGTGAACTGCCCATGTCATCGGGAGTGCGGACGGCTGAGGCGGTGGCTGGGAGTTGAGGAAGACTCCTTTAGAATCATAAAATTTTGCACAATAAAACCAGTCCTTGACTTTTTAGTTGCTGATCTGCTGGTATGGCACTGCACCGGTATTGTCGCGGCTACCAGTACGCTCAGTGGTTCTGAAGACCGTCTGCTCACATAGATGTGCTCCAGTACCACCTCCCTCTTTCATTCTCAGACGGGCTAAGTCCCACAGCTTTGCATGTAGACTAGCTAGTACGATAATATTCTATAGTTGATTGGCTGATGGTTTAGACACGTCAATAATACTGCTAAAAGCTTTCATTAATTTTGAGTGCTCGCTTGTCTCTACAGATGTACTAGTATGTGAAATGTAGCGTTTCCCATTTCCACCTAGAACCATGCGTATAATCCTTTCGGAAGACAAGGATTGAATTTCACAGAGATGAGCGAGGCACCAATAAATATGGCAACAACAAGAAACACAGTACAACACAAAGCACTTACCCAGAATAAAGCCTTCGTATGCCACGAGCATCAAGTGCCAACGAAAGTCCAGGCTCGCCGAAAGGGCCGCCGACGAGAAGAGACGCATCATGAGCACCAGCATCATGTCTCCAATACACTGTGCCTTCCAAATCATTTTGCATTTGACTTGGCCACTTCCATCACTACCAAATTGGATGAAAAAGGCCGTAAGAAACTTGTAACCACATAGAATGAGTAGATTGAGTGCCATGAGTTGCGAGACAAACTTGTCTCCAATATACAAAGCAGCTTCGAGGCCTTGTTCCTCTAATTCCACCGACCCCGCTGGAGGGGAGTGTAGGAGGGCATTGGTCCATTCCAAGTAGATATCATCACGTGGGATAAACTCCAAAATCGTTCCTGGGAAGAACAACTCTCTTCCAGCAATCAACGTAATGACGGATGTCACCACCGCTACCGTTCGGGCCACAATTCTACTGGCCACTGACTGCGGAGTCTTTCCTTCTGGCATGGCAATGGCCGGCAGTCTGGTTTGTTGTTTGGGAGTAGTGGCTAGTAGTAGATGATAGAGAAGGACCAAGGATTCCACAACCAGGAGTCCCATGATGATTTTGGGAAATTGGTCTGCCCTGGAATCCTTCAGGTCCGGCAAGTACATGCCGTAAAAGGTAGCCAGTGCCAAATTGGCCGCCAACGCCATCCCATACAAGGGTTTAAAATGGCCTGCCATCCACTGGGCACCCTCCGGATGAAAGAGGAGCGGAAGTAGTTTCTGCAAGTGGACAATGGCGCCCGCGGCTCCCCCCAATTTTCGCACAAAGAGACCTCCCATATTGTTGGCATCGGTGGTGATCGCTTGAATGGCACTCAATCCACCCTGTGACGACTTCCAGTCGGCACTATCAAAGAAGAAGTTGGAGTCTGTGAATTGCTGTGTTGGATCGATTCAATTGAAGTAGGTCGGGGTTCAGACGGCGTAAGCGAATAACAATAGTGCCACACCAAAAACAATAAGAAGAGGTTGATGAGTGAGACATCCCAGAGAGCGAGCAGTTAGCGGCAGGCGAACAACTGAACTAAGTAGTTACCTGAAAGGCATCATCACCGAGAGGACCGACAAGGACTCTTCCAGTCGCGAGGAAATCTCTTAGGCCAAGGACGAACAAAGGCCCCGAAAGGAAAAAGACACAAAATACCAATGACAGAGGAGGAAGGTGCTCTTCCGCCAGGGCGGTCGCTCCTTTGGATGGATTGCTTGGCTTTTGGACATTCGATGGATCATCGGTGGTGGTGCCCTTTGATGAGGCTACTTTGGTTGTTTCGTCTTGTGACTTGTGTTTGTTCGTGCGTCCCGCTGCCATGGTCGTCTTATTTGTTTGTCTCTTGATAGTCTAATAATAATGATACGCTCTTCTTCTTCCTTTGCTCCAGCCGCTTGCCTCTTTGATTTTGTGATGGCGTCGTTGGTCGTCGTTGGCACGGCCTCCTCTTGTCATTGGCTCGCAAGAACCCGAAAAATCGAAATCATTCGAATTGTCTCAAATCGACTCAAATCGAATAGATTCTTTGGCCCAAAGATCCACCACGCTACCAGGGTTACTCGGCATTTTGTCTATTTAAGGCTATTGTATCTGATTACAGAGTTGCCTAAATGTTCTATGCTCCTTTGTAAAAGTGGCTTATGTCTCACAATGTCTACGGATGTCTCACAATGTCTCACAATGTCTCACAATGTCTACCAATGTCTCACAATGTCTCACAATGTCTACTAATGTCTACCAATGTCTCACTTTGTCTACACAGTACAGTAAAACAGTACAAAAATGTCTCACTTTGTCTACCAATGTCTCACAATGTCTCACAATGTCTCACTTTGTCTACCAATGTCTACCAATGTATCACTTTGTCTACTAATGTCTCTTAATGTCGCACAATGTCTACTTTGTCTACTTATGTCTACTAACTGTGTGTAGACATTTACACTTAATCCCCAAAACATTTTCCCAAACTTAAAAACAGGCAATTTCCCAAACTTAAAAACAGACAAAATGCCGAGTAACCCAGGTAGCATGGTGTCGGTCGTTTGCAGCTTATTGCAGCGGCAAACTCAGCCATTGAGTCCACAACCGTACGATATTTGATTTAGTTGACTTCAGAGAGACTAATAAAAGGAGTGTCTTTCTACACTACTTGAACCAGCCATTGGCACAACCAGTTGCTTTTGACCAAAGCCATCAAGAGAGTCACAGCTTCCTTTCTTTCTTTGCATTGACCAACAGTTCCTTTCTATAATTAGTTTACCATGTCGCCACCCCAACAGACCATCACGGTGACCACCAAGGAAGGCACACAGGTGGAGTATGTGATGCGTGGATTACAAGACGAGGAAGTGGACCGTTGGGCTGCCTTTTGTGCCTCGGTCTTTTCCTACAAGGCCAATCCACCTCCGCCCTCGTATTTTGCCCGTCACTACCACAACGATCCACAGCGTTCAGCGGCATTGATTCGAGTCATGATATGCGACGAGAACATCGTGGCATCGTGTCGCGTCTTTCAACGAACCATTTCTCTGGGCAGCGACAGTAGTACGGCGTTAGCCGGAGGCATTGGAGAAGTCTGCACGGATCCAGCGCATCGACGAAGGGGTTTGTCCAAGCTGCTCTTGCAAGATGCCATTCAAATCATGACGGAATACAAAATGGAATTGTCACTGCTCCATGCAGCTCCCGACTTTTTTCCTGTCTACGAATCCAGTGGATATTCCTGTACCACTTCCCCATGGTCGTTGGTCACGGTGGATCCTGTCAAACTAGTATCAACCACAGCCACAACAACCACAACACAATCTACTACTAGTACCAGCAGCCATACCACCATTCGTCTGGCACAATTTCCATCCGACACTCCGCAACTTATCAAGCTCCATCGAGCCTTTTCCGAATCTCGATTGGCGGGTACCATTATTCGCAGCGAACAATACTGGAACGAGTATCTCAGCCAAGAATTAGGCAACAGTCTGTGGGTCATGACGACCAACAACAACCAACAAGTAGTGGCATGGCTCTCTATTCGACCGCGAGGGGACAATCGCTACCAAGTACGAGAATTTGGTTGGGACCGTGACAGTGACAACAAGCAGAGTGCTTCTGATTGCTTTGGTGCTTTATTGGGTCAAGCAATGCAACAACAACAACAACCAGATGGCTGTCCTCCAAAGGAACCGATTGCACTGCATTTGCCAACCTTTGTTCTAAATGATCTAGGCGAGATGGACTTTGTGGATGTATCGTCCATCAAAGAAGAGAACGATTTGGGATGGATGTATCGACCCATTTGTCCTCTTTCCGAAGCGGCCAAAGAAGGCATGCCGGAAATCTGCAAAAAGATTCCGCATCTGGTCTGGCCCTCTGATTCGTTTTGAGAATGTAATTATCGACAGTACAAGCTTGCTGATAGTAGTATTTGACATCGCTACAAGTGAAAAGGTCTCTGTAGAACTGGAAAGTACGATGTAGTCTACAGTTGCTATATAATATAGCTGGTCTTTTTACCCGTGTCGAGTGGTTCGATGCCTTATTCAATAGATCTGTATGCCTTTAGGAAGAGATGGGTTGTTTCCAGTCTGTCTATGGACACCGCAATTCTGTCAAAAACTTACTCACTCACTTGCTGTTGGAAGTGCTGCAGCAGGTTTCTTTGTGTCGAGATGCATGAATTTCAGCTCTTCCATTCTCTTGAGGATGGGATTCAGAGATGGATGGGTCACGTAAGCTCCACAGTGATAGCACCAAACCTTTTCACATTGAAATAACAGGAAAAGCAGAGAAACAAGAGGGTGAGTTGCTCTACATGCTAGCTAGTGGCATAAGATATGTCAGTGAAAGCAAGCAATTGAACACATCATGACGTACAGAAAGATCCGAGAGGCTGAGTGCCACACAGTGGCCAACGGCTGGACTATCAGCATTGCTCTTTTTGGTTTCCTCCCAATGCATCAACCCATGGCCATTCACATATCGAGAGCAACGCAGCACCCCACATTCCAAACAAAACCAATTTTCTTTGGAAGGGCACATTCCAGTATCGTCCACATCGGCTTTGGCTTTGCCGGTTGCCCCTCCAGTAGTGGACTCTGCTGTTGTTGTGTACGAGCAACAAGTCGAGGAAGGCGAAAAGGAATCATCCACTCCAGAAGCCGAAATTTTCACGTGATCTTGCAAATGAGGACAATTGTCAATGGGTACCACCGGACCACCCTGATCCTGGCCCAAACCAGAGTCCAGAATAAAGGCGCAAGCGGCTTCCACGTCTGGACCGCACACTTCAATGGCTTGCTTGGCAGCGCCTGCCTCAAAACCATACACTTGAGTCAACTGCTCCAAGGCGGCCCATTTGCGTGCCAGGCTTTCGTCGCATTGTGGGGAAGCAGCGGCCGCTGCTGCAGGTGGATTGGAAGAGGCCATGGTCGATTGTTTATTGATAGAGTTTGCTAGTTTGCGAGACAAGATCTTTCGCTAGCATGATCGGCCAGCCTTGGATCGTGCCATAACTCAGCAGAGCTACAGTAAATCAAGAGATTGGGGATAAGGTTTGAAACAGTTGGCGGCATTTTGGAAAGCTCGCCCGCTACCATACAGAACGGTACGTACCAGTACCCGTAGACTACCTGCATGGTACCAGGTACCGGTACGGGTACAGTAGCCTGGTCTCATCTTTTGAGCAAATGACGAAACACCATGGCATTCACCTGCCCCCAAGACGACCTGACACGGCTTAACTTTGGCCACCCAGACCACAACAACCTCAGCGACAGACAGTACTTTGCCTGGGCTCTCAGGACGGAGACCAAGATCAGATTTGGAAAGCTGGAAGCCCGACATTCACCAGCATCAGAATACCATTCAACCACTTTGAAGTCGGACTTTCTGATTGATGTCTACCCATCATCATCTGGTGGTGAATACGAGGTGTTCGCCAATCAATGGGAACGTGACAAGAGCGCCTTTGAAAGAAAGCCGGTGGATTCCTTGCGGGAGACCAAGACGCCGGATGGAACTTTGAGACCGATCCTGATTAATGGATATCAACAAATGCCACACGCTTTGTCATCCAATCCGGACAACCAGGAGGGCACTCTGCCTGTTCCCCCCAACTTCTATACTTTGAAATGTGCCTAAAAGCCTTCACAGGATACAATATTTCGGGCCTCTACAACTCCAATGATACAGAGATTCCTCGAGCTGCCATGATGGGAGGCGCGATTGTGGCGGCACTCACGTGCTGGAGAGATGTTAAAATTATGCGCATATTCTCCCGTTCCAAAATTGACAGCTTCTTTGATGACGAGAAACTAAGCAGTGATAAGTTGAACGAATACACGGAAAAGAAGGACGCAACCATCCGGAAAATCCATAAACACTTTCACAAAAACCGCCGGGGGAACCCTTCCGAGTCTCCTTTCTATGCCGGTGATGTTGATATCTTCCTTCAAGCAGCTCCCTCGACCCGTCAGCTTCGCAACAAGCTACTTGACCATTTCTCAAAGGATGTTAATGACTCTATCCATGCCTACTTTGAGGGCAACAAGGGACTGGGCACGTGTCAGAAAGACTTGAAAAAGTTTGCAAAGGCAGTAGAGAGCCGACTGGAAGAACCATTCGATCCATACTATGGCGGAAAATTCGTTTATTCGCTGGCTCAGAATGGACTTTCCTTCATGTATGCTCCTACATCTCCTCACGAAAGCGTCGACGTCGACCTGTGGCCAAGGCCAACACAACTCATCATGTTGCAACCTGGTGCAGATTCGATTTGTTGGGTGCCATCATGGACTTTGATATCTCCATCGCCACCTGTGCCTTTGATGGTACGACAGTGCGTGTGACACCCCGGGCCGCCCTTTCATTGCAACGAATGCTCGTGGTTGTCACGCCATTCTGTTTTGAAGAAAAAAGGAATCGATCTCGCATAGTCAAGTACTGGAAACGCGGATTCATTCCAGCCGTAATCGACCCGAACTGTAGACATGCGAATGAATGCCACAACTTTGAGGCAGTTTTGGGTCTGGCGCCGAGTCCTGCTGCAGTTCCCGAAGCAGATCTGTTGCATGGTGGAGAATGGCGGTGCAGGAATTTGCGATCCAATGCCGAAGAGTACAACAATATGCTTGCTCTGATCAATGGCCAGGAAACCGCTGTAGCTCATGCTGATGATCCCTTGCGCATGGAAAAGTCCTTCAAGAAGGGGGGTGGCTGGCTGAGTCTTAACTTTTACGGCGGCCTGTGTTTGACTGCACACGCGTTTGGAGCGATGCAAAGGCCTACAACGAAGCTCACAGTTCGATGCAGGCTCAATGGCACGCGGAAAGAATCCGCTACATCAACAAGCACGGCTTTGAAGAGGGATATAAATCCCGTTTTCTCTTCCATGACATTTGGAATGCAACAGGCACCAACCCGCTGGATGACATCTTTGCTCAGGCCGCTCGTCACGAGTTCCCTGAACAAATTCGTCCTCCGATTGGGTTGAACCCAGAGAGAATCGTGGCTCGTTGCCAATCTTGCCCCGATTGGCTGCATGATTGTGAGTTTGGGACCCGGTACTGTGAAAAGTGCGAGAATTCGAAACCTCATGCGCGCCAGGACAAGCGCCAAAGACGTGATAGGCTTGTCGCTCTACGGGTACCGGCGACCGTGGACTGTGTTTGAAAACGATGACAATGAAGGCATCTCCTTTGTTTTAGCCACGTGATGATGAAACTACTTGAAGAACTGGTTTGTAGTTAGCTTGATGTGCAATCAACTATAGCTCGCTACACTAGGAATTCAAGCCTGATGGCGAGTGTCCCATGGTCGAGAACGCGAGAATGTGGCGTATTGTTACCGAACCGCACACGAGCACAAAGAGTAGCCGTCGATTCTTTCGAAGATAAACGTAAAGAAAGAACGTGAGAACGGTCCCTGTCAAAAGCATCATTCGGAGTTGAAGCCACAGCAATGATGTGGATTGCATCTTCGATTGTCGCTGCGCCATCATTTCATCCGAGAATGCCAAATAGTCAAAGGATAGCTCGTGAACTTTCTTCGTGGGTGTTGTAGTGTCCTGCTCGTCCTCTCCTGGTTCAGATTGTCGCGACACCGTGACCACCTTTTTGTTCAAAACCGAGGCATCCCAGAACCCAGTTTCCTCAGCTGGAGCAAGACGCCTCTTTCTTGATACTCCTATCATCTGATCAGAGTGCTGGTTTGAATTCCTGTTCACGAGGCCATCCAGTATGGAAATGCATCCTTGTTGTCTCTTTGCATCGAAAGAACTTCCACAGTAGTTTCGATGAAAGTCTGGTATCGAATCAGCTGCTTGCAAGAACTTTTGCACGGTCAATCGAAAGATTGGTTGCTTGAACTTCTCGCACAAGTCATTGATAGCCTGGTCACAGGAAAGTCCCAAGAGCTTTTTCACGTAATCGTGTGGCTTGATGCCATGAAAGTGAAGAATCTTGATCTTGTTAAACATATTGTTCTTCGGTTTGACTCCCCAATAGGCTTTCCAGTTCCAAAAGTTGGAGATTTGCTGTACTGTTTCCTGATAAAAGTCCAGGTATGCTCCCTGATCACTGGGGGCCGGATGATTGAACTTGGGATCATTGACATGGTCCAAAATGTAATGAAGGAACTTATCATATGTGGCTCTCATGTGGGGCACATTCATCAGCGTTACTCCCGCGTTGAGCAAGTTACCTGTGTGATGGCGATGTCGTTCGGCACTCATTCCAATGCTGTGGGTGAGATTCAGACCAAAGTCCTTGAGTGTAAACGGCTGCATGATCACTGTATCGGCGTCCAGCAGCAAGCAATACTCTGTTTCAATGAACCTGGGGATATCAATTCGTTGCCACGTCCCAAAGTAGCTACCAGCATGCAGAAACAAGTGACTCGTGGCTGAGTTCCCATTTTGCCGCATCTTTTCTATGGAACCCTGCCATTGTGGCTCATGCTGGTACAGCGTCACGTTTTGCTCCTTCTGCAGCCAATGACGAAACTCCTGGTCCTTGTTTCCATGGTACAGGACATGGATCTTGTTTCGTGGCATGTGTTGTCGTACCGAAGCAATCGATGCCTGTAGCATGTACTTGCCCTTTTCATCACTCAACTCGGTATAGGTGTAAGCGATGGGTATTTGATAGATATCCCAAAAATCTCCCAGTGGGATGGACTGGCTGTTGTACCAATATGCCCCTTCTTGTTCCCGGAGTGCTATTTGCAAGGCCGAAAAGGTGGACACACTGTTTCCAACCAGATACCGGAGGCTCCCACAAATGAAAAAGTCCATCAAGGCCCACAAATCACGAACCGAAGAACCAGGCTTGAGTGCATGTACGGCTCGTTGGTCCTTGTCCGAGAGAAACTGGCTCTTGGTGACAATGGTATATTGACTTTGGTTTTGCAATTCGTCTGGTACCTTGTGATCTCCACAATAGTAGATCCATCGATCCGTGGAAGTGAGGGCTCGATGCTGTAGTAGTTCCAGGAGACTGTGCTTTTTGTTGTCGGCTTCACAATTACCACGATAAATGCCATCGTTTTTTGAATGTGCACTCCATCGCTGACAGTGGTCGTGCCAGTCCGTTCCATCACGATGATGAAAGCAAATGCCATTTTGCTGCTTCGGAAGAGGCCCCATGACCTTCTCAATATGCGTTTGGAGAGTGGAGGATGGTTGAAAAGCTTTGAGTAGTTTCAGCACCAAGTGAGGATCTGCGATGGACAGCCATGTCAAGCCAGGGCACTCTGGCTCGGTTGCATTTTGGTGGTGTTGTGTCATGGTTGTATTATTGTTTGAATCTTGATGATTCCATTGTACCAACTCCATTTGAATCCCCAGCTCTAGAAGGCGTTTGCGCAAGGCTGGTACATCAAAGGCGACCGCCAATGGGACCGAGTTTTCGTTGGAGGGTACGACGGGATCATCCGTTGTTTGCTCGCCATTTACAATAAAGTAGTCTGGAACTTGTACAATGTCATGTTTTTCTTGAATCGCCTTGGCAATGGCAGAGGCATGAATGAGCATTTGATTGGACAAGCCATTGCATATGTTGTACTGAAATGGATCGGATGATCTAGCAGCAGTTGCAATGGCTGCTTGGAATAGCATCAAGATACCCCCAAAGACCAAACGCTTCCTTCTGAGAATCATCCTATTTTAAAAGCAGCCTGAGTTATCTTATCACTGCACTGAAGTTGTCTGCATTGGATGCCGTAACTGTGAAGCAAACATTGTAGACCTGGCCGCTACCAGTACTGGATCGACTTCAACGAACCCAAGTGAGCTGCATCTGGCAAAAAAGAAAACGAGATCTGTCCTCTTTGTGAGAGGTGAATGAATTTCGCCTTGCTCGCGTACATCGTATCTTCTGTCTTGCACGCACATTTGATCAACACCACAACGACTTCAGCGCACAGCGAACGATTTCATACGTGGACGGAGCCACCGGTACCACACGGCCACGTACCCGAGGTACGATATGCACGACTGGAAGATCTCCACATTGATACCTGGAGCACTTGCCCTTGATGTCACTCAACTCGGTATAGGTGTAAGGCCGCTCTCTACCGGAGGGACTAAAGTAGCGACTAAGCCATATTTCGTAGTTTAGTCCATAGTTTAGTCTCTTGGGGTGGTGTCTACCCAAGCCACTAAACGTCCCACGGACTAAAGGGTTTAGTCACAAAGTTCGTTCACCGACTAACCGGAGGCTGGTTAGTCGGTGAGCGAGCGTAACGACTAAAGCCTCTTTAAGAACTCTTTAAGAACAGCACTTTAAAAAAGAACAGCACTTTAAAAAAGAACAGCAGCCTCATTGCACAGCCTCACTATCAGAGCATTGCGACAGAGCTGATAGAGTAGAGGTGCGATCGAACGATCGATGAGGAGTATCGGTGCAAACGATCGAACGATCGAAGAGGATCGAACGATCGAATGACAGTCTTCGGTTGAGAATAGAAAGCCATCCCTCATTGCAGAGTATGGAGTGCGGGATGGCTTTCATTTCTCGGCCTTTGACTGAATGATACCGGTAGTAGAGGTGCAAACGATCGAACAATCGAAGAGGTCGCAATGGTGTGTTTTGAGTCTTGTTATCTCAGTCTTGTTATCTCAAAAAAGTAATCAATTCTATTAAGTCTTCTATTAAGTCTTTTGTTTGAGTCCTTTAAATCCACCTTGCTGATAGAATATTGGTAGCCCACCAAGCGATCACTTTTGTTAAATCTTTTTTGAGTCCTTTTTGAGGCCTTATAAGTCCAGCACCCTGCAATGGATTTAGTCGCAGTGTTTGTTTAGTCGCCAGGGTAGACACCACATTTTGACTAAAAACTCGACTAAATTGTTTAGTCCGAGATTTAGTCATCTGCTGGTAGACACCACCATTACTAAAGGATAATGACTAAATCTTGAACTAAACAACCACCTAAAGGATTCCTTTAGTCGCTACTTTAGTCCCTCCGGTAGAGAGCGGCCTAAGTATAGTAGCAACTTCTTGGGTTTTGGCAAGCTCATCTGCACTCGGATCGTTGCGTTGCTGATAAAACTGCAATCCGTTTTCTTTTCTTCTCGTGTCCAGTTTGATCAGTTTTCCACCACCGTGGCGGACGCTGCCATGGGTCAACAGAGGGACATTAAAGATGCCTTGTACCAGTTGTCAACCTTCATCTCTGCTTGGGGCAACAGCGATCAGAACAATGAAACCCTCCCCTTTGTAACAATACCTAACTCCGAAGCCATCATGGAGAACATTCGAAAGCAGGGCAAGTTCGAAACAATGGGCTATACTCCATATCTACTTCGTGAACACAGAGAGCCTTGGATTGAATATGCAAACGCCCGCTACCAAAAATGGGTAAAGGAAGCGCATGTACACAAGTACGGCAATCTTGACCGCCTTTCGCAAACAGGTTATCATCCCTTCATTTCGCAGTATGGTCCAAACCGCACTGTTGTCGAGAGCCCCGAGGCAAACCTTGTGATGGCATCTTGGATGTATTCGCCGCCTCCTGCAAGTTACTTCCTCATTAATGGAAATGCACTCTCAGTTCCGCGTTTGCGCGCCAGAAACCTTGCAGTGTTGGAATTGCAGAATGAAACTGTCATTTCGGCTGTGGAACAGCACATCGGCGTCCCAGTGGCTTTTACCGCTGAAGAGCACGCGGCATATCACAGCAAGCTCACAGATTCCAGTGCTGCGAATCCACACTCGTTTGCCGCTTACCCCGTACACAAGACTACAGGCGATCCCACATCAGGGGCTGTGGCACAGCTTAGTGCGGCCTTTGCCTGGGATGTGGCACTATGGAACCTACTCCCAGACGGAGTGCAGGGAATTCACGTTGTCCTGCGCAATACGTGCACCCAGTCCTATACGTAAGTGCTGTTGGTCGCGGTCTTTTCGCAGTGTATGCTGTCTCCTTCTGACCTTCACAATCTTATCTTGTGCATGCAGGTACAACATAGTTGGAGGTGATGCATTTTTTCTGGGGGATGGGGATCACCATCAGCCTCAATATGATCAATATGAAGTACCTGTGAGTCTTTCTCTCCACAGCCATCCTGACTTTGAAAAGGTACCGGGACACTGCCTCTACTCTATGGTACGTACGGCTGAGAGCTCTGAGGGCCTTTTTCAAGTTTGGTTTTGGATACTCAACACATCGGCCTCCCTTCTCTTGGTAACGTAGCACATCTTTCCCAGCGAAACATTCCAGGGTAGTTTCGACACCAATACCCCCGAGGTCTTTGCTGCAATTGTGGCTTCCACCTTTCTCCTTGTGGCTGTTGCATTCTGTATCTACGATCTCATGCAAGGAAAGCGCAACTCTAACCTCATCAACAAAGCAGCTCAGTCCAATGCCATCGTGACCTCCCTCTTCCCAGACATGATGAGAGAACGGCTATTCCTCCAGGCAGAACAAAAACAAGCCGCCAAGAGCAAGAAAGGAAGCCTTAAGACCTTCCTGAACGATGGCAAGCAGGGCGCAGTTGACAATTCCATGAACCTCCTAAGCAAACCAATGGCTGACCTTTACTTGTCAACGACGGTCCTCATGGCAGACATTAGTGGTTTCACCGCCTGGTAAGTTATCGGAGCTCCATTGGCAAATTGAATAAGTTGAAGACCTGGCTCATTATGATCACGTCATCTCGCGCAGGTCTACGGTTCGGGAACCCCACCAGGTGTTCACTCTTTTGGAGAGCATTTACGCTTGCTTCGATGAGATTTCGAAGAAGAGACGAATCTGCAAGGTAGAGACCGTGGGTACGTACTTCGAGTACTAATAAGAAGAGATGGGTTGCCAACGTCCAGAATTTCTTCATGACTCACGATTCTCGTAATCTCGAACCCCTACGACACAGGAGCGGTAGAAAACAGGACTCGTGGCGCGACTCCGCGAATTAACCACGAGTACCGCGAATCCGCGACTCGCATCGCGACCGCGCGCAAAAACGCGAGCGCGGCCACGAAACACCGCGAATAACCGCGAGATTTAAGATACCGTCGTGAAAGACTTAAAGGCTAGAGTTGGCCGGTCCAAATCCAATGACTGCAGCAGCAGCAACAACAGCACAACCTCTCGTCTGTATTACAATGCCCAATCCAATGGCTCACACAAAATCAACCAAAAAGGTTGTTGATCCAAACGCCAATCCTCTTGCTCGTTGGAGCAAGCTGCAACACCACGACAAGCTCATCTGCTGGCATTACTGGCGGTGGATTGTCACGAACGGAGAAGAAGGCTGGGACGTAGGATCTGCTGGCTCCGTGTATCATCAGCGGTCATCGCAGCTGCTCGTGAGCCTTGGAAGCGACTCCTGGTTTCGGCATCGAGGCAGACAAATGGTTTCTTTGGCTCAGAGATTTGCACAATTGAACCAACAGCCACCTGAAGACCCAACCAATCCTCCAAATTTGGATCGAAGTTCAACACCACCTCTCCTACTCTCCCTCACTTACTCGAGCCTGTCCCTCGCTTTGGTGGTGATCTATTTGCAACTCCACCGACCTCCCCAACTCCTGTCATGTCTGGAATTCACTCTCCCAGAGCCACCAAAGCCAAGGCCAAGGCTCCAGCTCCAGCTCCAGCTCCGGCTGAACCAGAAGCCGCATATCCAGGGTTGTCGGCTCCCATGGCCCATGGCATGTTTCGGAAATTCAATTACACCACCCGCAAGACCGAGGTTGCGATGCTTTGCCGTACTATCCTTCACAATGGTGTCACAGAGAATGATATTGAATTTGAGTGGCAGGCTCCCCGGCTTCTCATGATTCGAGTTGCTTGGCCAGATTGGTTTCAAATGGCCGAGCAGATGGCGCAATTTTGTGTTGATGATGAGGGCAAGATGCTATATCCACCGGAGCATCCATTGACGATGGATACCTCCGAGCGCAACCAAGCGCTTGTTGAAGAAGATAATCGCATCTGGGATTATGGCTATATCTGCTTTGATCAAGACATGGTAACATCTGAAGATCCAGCTATGGAGTTACTCCAAGTGGACATCGAATCACGCAGTGTCAAAGTCAACGTGCTCCAGCTCTACGTCAAGTAAGTTACCACTGACTGTCGGAAAAAAAGATGCAAGCAATTTGCTCCTTGTATGTGGCTCCTTTATCTCATCTGATTGCTTGTCTGTTCTCAGAGTGGCTCCTGTCGACACGGAAAAGAAAGCATCAAAAGTGACTGCAACTCGTGTTGTCAAGCTTGGGACGGGACCACATCCTGGAGGCACCAATGTACGTACCAGCTCACTTCTCAATGAGGCTTCCAAAGATCGCTCGGGAAAACGCAGTCGTTCTAACGATGGTTCATCAGTAGGCGATGCAAACGTAGACGATGTCACGGCCGAGGAGGAGGAAATTACAAGCCGAATGGATGAGAACGCGGGCGACTACTGAAATGAGGAGGGTGAGGAAGAGGGCAAGGAGGAGGGCGAGCCTTTTGATGAGGTTGTCATTGTGCAACGATTGAATAAAGATTTGGCATTGGCTCAGCTGGAATTTGGATTCTTGGGTAATCAATAGAGTGGCCGATGGGTGTTTATCTGCTGCCAATACTATAAACGTTTCAAGTAAATGATGATACATACAATCTGTTCTATTAATAGACTAGATTAATCGTAAGAAACGTCATACTCGACGTCGAACAACAGCGAGTCTCCGTGCTGAAACTTGAGCTGTGTCACAACAGCCACAGAATCAAAACAAAGTCCGTGCTTCTCCATCATCTTGTTGCGTGGTTTCATGTGTCGGAAAGGGACAACTAGCACATTAAATATCTTTAATCTGCTGTTCCCAGCCTCGTGTTGGCCTCTCACAACGCTTTTGTCCTTCCTGCCCTTTCGAGATGTTGCAACAGTCGGAGATTTGAATTTTGGATCTCCCTTGTAACCGGAGTCAACCTCCACTCCCTCATCCTCCGCAAGATGAGTCAAGAGCCCCTCAATACAGATGGCCGAGTCGCCTTTTCCAGCTTGAAAGGGCCCATTTGTCCAAACAATATGGCCGGTCGCGATGCACATTCCCACCTCATATTTGACTGCCGGCCCATTAAATTTTTGGGAATATCATTTCTTGTCGAATGGCCAAGGCTCATTAATCATGCAATCAAGAGCATCAACTGACATCAAACAGCTTGACCCACTGGAAGGGTCGAATCCTCGATTGTCGAGCTGGATAACATCCGGCTTGAGAGACGCAATTTTTTCCAGCATGTACCACGTCCACTTTCGGTACGTAGGAGCCGATGGCCACCCAAAGATCCTACGATGCACAGCCACTGTCGAATAAACTTTGATATGCACAAGCGCCCACAAAAGATGCTTTGGAGCAGCACCATTCAAGTCGATAAGAGGAATAAGTAGGTTCCAAAGAATGGAAACAATTCCAATCGGAGCGCCAAAGAATCCACGGAAAATCTCATCTTCTTCTTTCAATTTTGCCCGTGATGGAGTGCCGACTACTTCTGGCATGCTCAATGCTTCTCTGGCCACTTGCGCCATGGCGACCGGGTCTAGTGAAAGCAACGGCATCTTTAGATTGAATAAATCCCATTGTGGGATCTTTCATTGGCAGTGTATCTGAAAATGTTTTACGTGACAAGATTATAGTCGTCTTATATCCTTTAGAATTGTACTTTAAGTCTTCCGCGAGCTGTCTCTAAGTCTCGCGGTTATTCGCGGAATGTCGTGGATCGGCGGTTAAATCCGCGGTTCGCGGATTCGTGGATTCACCATTAAATCGCGGAATCGCGCAGCGAGTCACGGTTTCGCGAATCCAGTCGCGTTTTCTACCGCTGCTATGTCGGTGAGTGACAATCACACAAGTCTTGTTCGGTTTGCAACATTTTTCTGATTTCTCACTTTTTTCATTCAATTCTGCAGCTGTCTGCGGGCTCCCTGAACCTCGAAAGGATCACGCCATTGCCATGGCACGATTTGCTAGAGACATCCTTTCGAACATGTTCCGAATAACTAAACAACTCGAAGTGACGCTCGGTAAGTTACTAGCTAGTATCCCATGCGGTGAAAAGTGCCCTTCCTCTTGGTTCGGATTGCTCATCGTCCGTTTTTTCCAATTTCCTACAGGCCCTGACACTGCTGACCTCGGTTTGCGTATTGGCATGCACAGTGGTAGGTTCACACTGTAGTCATCACTATCATTATTGGCCGCACTGCTGTCCTCAAAGTTCTTCTTTCACTCCAGGCCCTGTTACAGCTGGTGTTTTGCGTGGAGAAAGAGCTAGATTCCAGCTGTGAGTAGTTTGATTGTCATGTCTCTCAGAAGCTGGAAGCGTCTGGAGTCGAGTCCTTGCTAACAAATCATTTCATTTTCATTTTCAGTTTCAGTTTCGGAGACACCATGAATCAAGTCAATCGCATCGAAAGCTCGGGGCAACGGGATCGGATTCACTGCAGCAAGGAAACCGCGGAACTCCTGAAAGAGGGAGGCAAGGAATCATGGATCGAAAAGAGGCATGATGTGGTGCATGCAAGGGGACTCGGGGAGCTCGCCACATACTGGGTTACTGTTAAGGGAGAACGTGGGGCTGGAAGTGTAGGCTCGTGTCAATCTATTGATACAGTAGAGCCCGGATTGTAATATGGTGCCCCACTCCCGGGAGTGGATGAGAAAACCAATCGACTGATAAATTGGAATGTGGAGATGCTACTTCGAATCTTGAAGCAGATTGTAGCTCGTCGCGGCCAAAGCAAGAAATTGAATGAAGGATGCACCTCGCAGCTTCCTCATGACTACACCGGGAAAACTCCGCTGCAAGAAGTACGCGAAATCATTCATCTTCCTGAGTACAATTTTCGCAAGAGCCGCAAAGAAGTTGACCCCGAGACAGTGGTGATCCCGACTGAAGTCGTGCAGGAGTTGCATCATCTTGTCAGCAGTATTGCAAGTCTCTACCACGACAATCCATTCCATTCTTTCCAACACGCCAGTCGTAAGTCTTGTCAAGTTCAAGCGTGCTTGCACAATCCCCTGTATTCTTGCTTCAGGTGCTGACACCCTCTCCCCACTCCGTTGCTTTTTTGGCCAGATGTGGTCATGTCCGTCACAAAACTGCTCTCCAGAATTGTAGCCCCGGCACAAATTGAAGTTGCCGCCTCGAAGCGCAGCATGCACGACACCACATACGGTATTACCAGGTAAGGAAGGATATTGTGTGCCATCGTTACTGTTTTCAACCGTATTGGCGGCATGCTTCTCACCCAGCGCCTTCATCTGCTTCTCCCAGTGATCCTTTAACTCAATTCGCATGTGCATTCAGGTGAGTAGAGCTGGAACAATCCAAAATGTCAGCATTGACAGGCAGCACCGAGATCTAACTGGACCTTTCCCTCCTCAATTGATTGGTAGCGCACTGATTCATGATGCAGATCATCAAGGAGTCAGCAATGCTCAACTGGTTAAAGAGAGCACTCCGATTGCCTCCAAATATGAGGAACGCAGTGTAGCTGAACAGGTAAGCTGTGAATACTCAAGCGATCTAAACGGTTGTTGCTGGTTTCTGTACCTCACGTTTTGGTATTCTACTCTCTCAGAACTCATTGGATCTTTCCTGGGAGCTTCTTATGAGAAAGGACTACGATCAACTGCGCGCTTGCCTCTTCGAAAAGGAGGCTGACTTGATCCGCTTCCGCCAGCTTGTAGTGAATTCCGTGATGGCCACTGATATCACCGACAAGGATCTGAAAGCCCTTCGCAATGGCAGGTGGGATAAAGCCTTCAAGAAGCGGCTCTTATCAGACAGCAGCCGCCACAGCAATGGCCCCCATACCGGGGAAGAGAATCAGAGAGATGCTGTCAATAGGAAAGCTACAATTGTGGTAAGTGCCTGCTGAAGCTCTGGTGCGTTTACATAACCAGCTGTGATGCTTACCCTTCACGCTTTTCATCACGCAGATTGAACATATCATTCAAGCCTCCGACATCAGGTATGCACGCTTCTACATTTGACTTCTTCTGACTGCTTCATCACCTTTGGTTGCTCACCTTGTTCATCATTGTTTTGACTTTTCTCTGTCCAGTCACACTATGCAACACTGGCATGTCTATCGAAAGTGGAACCAAAACCTCTACGAAGAACTTTACGTTGCCTACTTGAACGGGCGCATGGAGAAGAATCCCGAAGAGTTCTGGTATAAGGGAGAATTTGGTTTCTTTGACTTCTACATCATACCCCTGACTCAGAAACTCAAGGACTGTGGGGTATTTGGTATTTCCAGTGATGAGCTTCTGCATCACGCCAAGAAGAACAGGGCTGAATGGGAACCTCACGGCGAGGCAGCCGTTGCCGAAATGATCCAAGACGCTCGTCGAAAATATGGCGTCAAGGATATCGATTGTTAGCTGGGTAGCTGGCGACCTTGCAGACCGTGCCGCACTTCTTTGAGCCTGAGATGGGGCGGTTTGCCTAACGGCGGCGACATGAGGAAAATAAAAGATTAGACGATGGACATTATCTATGCGGCCACACTGATCACATACACAAATTAGGTTCACTTGATAATATTTTGCTTTGACCTCCTTTTGTTAATAAAATCGGTTCGAAGAATGCAGGGGTGTCTTCCATACGGTATCGTTCGACCCAACTTATTAAGCATCCTGCTGGTTAGCAAAGTTTTTGTACCACTAATTCGAGGACTTCAGTTGGTTGTACGTCTATGTATACCGGTAGCTCTAATGGCGACCACTATTTGCATGTATCCTGATCCATGCAGCTGAGCCAGTGGTTCGTACCGGTACCAGTTACTGTACTAATACCACGACAGCTATGCCGGTATGTGGTCAAGTTCCTCGTTCAACTCCCACGGCTTTTTGAAAAAAGTCGGCCTGACCGATGACAGTCGAGCCCCGCTCGAGGAGCGGAGCAGGGTCAACTCAAACAAGGTTAAGGATATTGTTTATTTTCCGGGTCTCTTTACCTCTTTCCTCATTACTTGTGGTGCGAATGTGGAGATCGATGGCCACCCTCAGCGAAATCCAACCCACTGCCAAGCCGATCACCGTCGACAACGCTGTCCTTATCCTGGCCGTCATCTTTGTAGGTATGTAGATGGCAATGAAGTTGTGCGATTGTTGGCTTGTCTTGTAATGTCGGGTCTGAGGTGTGGCGATGTGTATCAGCCTTGTGGCTGTGATTGCTGTTGCTGCTGTTGCATGATCGTTGAACGAGACTCACCACTTCAGTTCTTTCTTGTTGCTTCGCGCAGAGATCCATTGAATATTCAGCATGCCAAAGCAAATTACAGATATCCGTGATTTCCTGCAAAAGGCTCGTCGATCTGATGCCAAGTTGGTCAAGATCCGCAAGCGTGATGCCCAAACCAAATTCAAGATCCGATGCTCCCGCCATCTCTACACACTGGTCGTCACTGATGCAGAAAAGGCAGACAAGTTGACCCAGTCCCTTCCCCCAGGCTTGGAAAGAAAGACCATCTAAATTAACTAGAAAGAGGGTTGAAAATCGGCTCAGGCTGCTTCTTGAATGGTCCGTTTCGTCGCTTGTTTGGGAGAGCATTGTCAGACACCCAATCCACACACGCCTCTTCCTCTGAGAATACCAATGGGACTTCCTAGAGGAACGGTTGTAGCTAGCTAGTTAGGAAAGGTACATAGTTCAGTAGCTGAGAAACTGACTGAATCGAATCGCCCCGATGACCGGATAGATGTGCATCTTCCATTTGGAAGTACCGAGGAGCGGGTCTGCCTCTTCGTAATCACAAGTGTGGTTCCATCGCCCAAGGTGCCTTTTCACCATTCAGAGAACCTCCACCTGAAGTCCTTGGCAGCTTCACAAATTAGAAACGATCATTCCTTGGAGCTGACTACAAGCTACGGTTTAAGAGAAAAAATGGTCAATCAAACAGTTCGGGTCACTGAGTTGGACGTCAACAAAATCATGGTAGGAGGTTTCCGCCCGCTCAGCCAGTCTGATTTGTCTGTACCGCAGTGCGCCGGTTGTGGCCACGGAGTCGTCCTTCAATTGGTCGTCAACTCCATTAAAACTTAGTCCTCAGTCAACTTACGCATGGCATTGTCGCTAAAAGCAAGAAAGCATGTGGGTTGTACAGAACTGGCTGACATTCCAAGCAACGTTGGCGTCGGACGGAGCCTCAGAAACCTCAAGCTTGCTGAGGTACCTCAGACACGATCTATCTGATCATCGAGGAAGGCTCCTCGTGATACATACCGTATCGTACTACCGTACTTCTTAGAGCAAGTCATTTCCTTCTCAGGGAACCGAAGAGACACCTCTCAGACTTGCTATGTCACAATCCTGAAGGGACCCTCACCTGGGTTTGCAACCTACATTTTGCAACCTAGACTGCTGTAATTGTTTTGCTAGCTGGCGGTGTGGATACATCAGTCAACCCCGTGTTGGTACTAGCTAGTACATTCAACCAGATGACCAAACCACGGGGATAGTTTCCTTCTTTGGGTTGGGGTTCAGAGAGATCCTAATATTTTTTACTTTTGTAGCTCGTAATGACTCGACGCAGCAATCGCATCCGCATCGTCTCCCCTCGATTATTATCAGCAGCAGAAGTTGCTACCGTATTACAGCTCAAGAACGCGACCAACTGGTAGCTGATAGACTCAGTTGTCTTTGCTTTTCAAGATGGTGTATGGTCTCATTCAGTCGTGCCGATATGCCTTGAAGTATCGTGGAGGATGGAGAGGTCTCCTGGAGCACATGTACACGGTAAGATACCCCTTGGGCGGCTATCGGCAGTTACTTGACTGACGCAAGGTTTGAATTGCACTCTTTGGACGGTTGTTGTAGCGTTCAGACAAACCAACTTGGTTTCTCGCTGGCTAAGATAGACGAATTGAAAGGAAAGAGAAGAAAATTGTGTTGAATAGTTGGAATTTGGAAAGAGGATTCCGCCGATGCCATCTCGAGCACTCACGTACTCACCATGATGTTTCCTGTGTCGAACTCTCTTTTGCTCTCTGAAAAGAATGGAGATCATCCATTCAAGGTCGGCACGTACATGGGATGTGATCCCATGGGCAATCGCTATTACGAAAACAGGGTGGACTATCCCATTGGTCAGCATCGATGGGTTGAGCCGTAAGTGGAATTCCGATGCATCTTTCGTTACTCAGTAGTTCCTGTACATGTAGGTTACATCTTACAAATCTTCTTCAACATCTCTTTGTGTAGTGCTGATATTCATAACTTTGACAGTACCCATGTTCCCCCGGAATGGCATGGCTGGATGTGCTCCATGAACGATGCCACTCCCTCTATGGAACAGGAGTACATGGAAGAGATGCACAAGCGTCAACTCAAAATGGAGGATTCCGATGCACCATACGTAGACGCCGTTGGACACCAGGAGCCATACTTTAACTTCAACCACCAACACAATCAATCCCAAATCCGTTCTCGTGGATACGGAGTGGGTAACCACGTGGTGGGACTTCCTCCAGGTGCTCCCGATGCTTTCTACACCCAACCGGGCTCACCCTACAATGCGGCCAGCATTCGCAAGTTGGAGTATGCTGGAGACTTGGATGAAACTAAGGGTGGAGGCCGTCCCTACAAGAATGATATGTGGAAAGAACGTCTCATGACGGATGAAGATAGGGCTGCCATTGCCAAGAAGGCCGCGGACGCGGCGGCACTGGAAGCCGAGAAGGCCAAGTCTCACAAGCCGCTCAGTCTCCGTGAGCAAGCTATTCTGGCACGTGGTGGTACTTTGAAATAGATCATTGCATTATCTATTTTTAACTAACGCAGCCACAAAGCGAGGAGGAAAGCAGCCGTAATGTTTAACAGTAAACTTAGCCCCAATCAACTTGTTCTCTATACGGGTATAACCAACCAGCCAAGAGGACATAGAACGAGCGATCAGTGAGGAATCCAAGGCAACCTCACTCCCCCGTTGTTGCATCTGCCGCTCCTTCTTGACCTGTTGGTACTTCTGCTTCTTCCATTTGAGAATTGATTAATTCCTCTTGCATCGTATGCACCATTGAACCAAGATGAGACACGTCTTCTACTTCAAACAGTTTGTCCTTTGGGATCTTATCGTTCAAAGTTCGTTCCGTGGGATGGCTCTCGCCCAGAACTAGCTGCAATTTGCTGGGGCGTGCTGTGAATTGGTCCAGCGTCCTCTTGAGTTCGTGGCACTTGGCAAACAGGGACTGCCGGCAAAAGACGTACAATCCCAGGCGAGATCTCGAAACAGCCACCACCAAACGCCGTATATCGCGAATGTGCCCCACGTGGTGTGTTCGTACCAGCGACAAGAGAATGAAATCGTTCTGCTGTCCTTGATACTTATCCACCGTCGAAACAGCACCAGGTCGGATGCCAGCCAGGGGGGTGCCCTCGCCACACCGTTGCGCCAGAATGTCTTGAATCAGAGCTTTCTGACCGTTGTAGGTGGTCAGAATGGTGATTTTCTCTGGAGAGTGTCCAATCAATACCATGTACTGGAACAAAGCCACGGCGTATTCGGCTTCGCCAACGTTCTGGTAGAAGTATGCCGTTGGGGATGATTCGCCCTTGCCCTCGAAGTCTTCCACGTTAATGATTTGGAATGTGTGGGCAAATCCAGAGTTGACGAGCTGGAATTCCTTCGATTGTTGCACATGATCAAGATCTCCAAGATTCTTGTAGCGCCAGCTGTACAAGCTGGCAATTTCTGCCCGAGCTCTCCCTTGCTTGTCGAGCTGCACGTATGGAACGTCCAACCGAATGAGTCGGGAGAATAGGCTCTGGTCGAGATTGCTGAATTTTGAGAACGCCGTGTTCTTGACCACCGGTGGTAGTTGCTTATGGTCCCCCATTAAGCAGACCCGCTTCAGACGCGAAACACCTGCTGAACTTCTCGAAGACTCGTCGGATTCGCCCCGTTGGAGCAGCAGCGGGATGAATGTTTCAATATCCGACATTTGTCCAGCTTCTTCCATCACAACGTTGTCGTATTCGAATCCAATTTCAATCAAGTGAGAACGGGCAATCGCAGCATGCGTGCAGGTCATCGCAACGATTCGAGCCTGCTTCATAATAAGATAATCCACTCTCCGTCTCTGCGAATGGAGCAGCTCCAACGGACGATATTCTGCGAGCTCTGCAAACATCTGGTTCAGTTTCTCAAAGCTCTCGCGGGCACGAGATAGAGTGACCTTTTCGTTCTCTCCGACTTGGTTGTAAGCACCGAACGGGAATATGCCTGTTACCTCGAGGTCGGGCGCTTCCTTCTCTCCAGTCAACGCAAGATTCTTTTCAAACATTTGGATTCGTTTTTGCACGTGGTCAAAGAAGAAGTACTCTGCTGTTTCACAGGTGTATGCCGCGGATCCATCCTTTCCGCGGTCTTGCTGGCTACTGACCCCAAGTGACTCCGACAACAGCTGGACCTGCTCGAGAAGCTTAGAGCGTTGGTGTAGAGAGTATGCCACACGGCCAGGTTTGGAGAAATCGTGCGTTGAAGACGTTTCGAGATCGCGTTCACCTGATCCAAGTCGCACCATATATCTTTCGTTTATGTCACCTCTGGACATGACCTTCTGGAAGATGTCGTTCAAAGCTGCGTTTGAGTGCGTGATGATCACTGTGCGCTGAGCAGGGAAGGAATGATAGAGACTAGCAATGATCTGAACAGCGACATCGGTTTTTCTGCGGCGTCAACCGGTCACGACACAAAGTGGCGAGGATTAGAATCCAATCAAAGTGCTGAACCAGTGGCACCACAATCCAATTGACTTACCCTGTACCCGGTGGTCCTACAACGAGACTGAGACCAGGCGACAAGCCTGCACGGATCGCTTCGACTTGAGGCCGAGTGAATCGTACGGGATTTCCACTGCAGTCTGACGGAAATGGATACGACGTGGCTTCAATCTCGTTGGCCCCTTCTACAAACCTGATCCTGTAATTCTTGCGCCCACCGCTTGCCTCGGCATCACCTGGCAATTTGTCCCTGTCATCGACTGTGATTTTCATGGACGAAGTTGCGAGCGCCTCTCGCAAATGTTTTTCGTCTAAAAACGTGTCGCCAAAATCCAAAGCTGCATCAGGCTTGGCCACTCCCACAGTTTTTCTGGCGTATGACCGTACAGTACTCGATTTGTACGATGCTGAGGTAGGATCGCCCAAACCCAAGAGAATCATTTGAAGCCACGATGGCATCACCCGACTGATGGATGCCACACCATCCATCAAACCCCGAATTGTTTCCAACACCGATTTGAAGTTATTTTCGCTGCCCTTTCTCCTGACAACTAGATTCATCATCTGCAAGCATCGCAAAGAGACACGGATTGAATTGAGTGGATGTCACACGCCAAAGCGTTCGATCATCTGTGCATCAAAGAGAAGAGACGTACCGCGTAGAGCTCTGTCCCCACCTTTCGGTCCATAACATACTGGGCAGGATCCAATGCGACACGAAAGATGCGTTTGGTCCCACTCGGCGATTCTTTGGAACTGGGATCGCTCAAGACATTTCCTTGTTCATCTCGAACCTGCAGCACCATACACCCGCGGACAGCAGCCACCCCAAAACGCTGGGGAAAGGTGCCATCTTCTTCGTCTGGAACTCGTCGGTCGAGATCCCGTTCCGAAAAGGGCTTTTGGTGTTGTTCTCGATAAAAGTCTCGCATGGCGGGTGCCGCCGCGCCAGTCATTTTGCTAGCGTCGACGGTGACCAAAAACAGATTGTCAAATTCGGCCAGCTGATCCCACTCTCGACGAATGGAGTCTCCACATGGTTGCAGATCAATGGCAAACTCTGCCACCACCTGTGCTGGCAAGACATTCCCCAACGTCGGTGGATCCACCCTTTTGATCTGCACCACATCGTCCAGTTCCAGAGCCATGCGTGCCCAACCTCGAAATTCGGTTTTCAACACAATATCCTCACCTTGATCGATATCCATGGATTGTCGCACGACTGGCCGGAGTCGTCTAATGACATCTACCAAGTCAGATCGAATTTCGTAGGCACTTTCGAGCCTGACCAGTTCAAAGTTTCGGAGCAGATAATCTTGATACGACAAGAATCGCTTGTTGAGTTTTGGCAGCGACAAGACGGGTCCGGTTTGCCGCATGGCCAAGTGGGTGGGAGGAATCAAGTTGTGGTCCCATAGAACCGTTTCGGTAGGATATAGGGGAAACGATTTCAACTGTTCCAGGGGATGCGGTGGAATGGTGAGATACTCCAAGAGTACAGCCCACAAGAATGCATCATTTCGTTCTTCGGTGACGTCTTCCGTCGTTTTGCTGTCGACGAGTCGTAGCCGGTGTAGCAATTCGTCCAATTGTCCTTCCTTGAGGCCACCCAAGACGCGTCGTACGTATTTGGCATTGCCTTCGGCACCAATGCTATTGTTGTTCTTGTTCTTGTTCTTGTTGTTGCGCTGATTATGATGATTGTTGCATAGCAATCCTACCCCAGCGTAAATCACGTCCTTGAGATGAGGATAGTGTCGATGGCACATTTTTTGTAACGTGGTGGCTCGTCGATGATGCAGCGAGACAATGTCGACAGGCGTCGGTGACAAGCTCTTGAGGCTCATCTGGGTGTTGACGACCACACTGGTTTCCAAGGGCAACAGTGTCATTAATCGATTGATGCGTTGCAAGAGCTGTTGTGCCAAACGAAGAGGTTCGAATCTGGCATTTCGGTTTCCCACGGCCAGCCGACACCGGACAGTAAAGTGCATGGAATCCATGTATACAACCAGGTATTGTCGTGTCTCGTGGTTGGATAACAAGTCAATCATAAGCTCCAGGGAGCGATGCAGAAATGTCCAAACATCGGATGAGGCTGCCTTCTCAATTCTGACACTGGTGGATGGTTCATTACCATCGTTATTATTGTCGTCTTCTTGCTGATCCACCTCCATATTATTACTATTCTGCTTAGCATCATTGTCCTTCTCTGCCTCCTCCAAGGCATCATAGAAATGAAGTAACCGCTTGCCATGTCCATCGGTTTCTCCCTCCAACAAGTGCACAATTTTGGACAAGAGTAGGACCAGAAAAGGTTTCTTCTTGTCGTTGTTGTCATTCTTGGCAATGGCTGCGAATTTCTTTTGCAACATGGGATATCGTTTGAATTCCAGCTCCCGTCTTCTTTCGGGCATCACTTTCCAAAGGATCAATCCTGGATTGCAAACAGTGAGAGCATGATCGCTGCACGTGTTGGCAATGAGAACCAAGTGGATGACTGTGGTTTGAAATCGAAATCCCTTTTGATCATGATATACCAGTGTCTGCACGGCATCCTCCAAGACGGCTCTATTTCGGGTTCTTGTCTCTTTGTCGTTGTTATCCTCTTCCGATTGTTGCTGCGTCATGAACGCCAGAGGCGTCGATGCGGGAAACGTTCCTTCTCGACAGTGCAAAGATACCAGCAGAGCCAGTAGATGACACCCATGGAACCACAGAATATCTTGTCGATGGTCTCCTCCTTTCGCGTGCTTCTCCACCAAAAAGGGCCAAACCGTCTGCGATAATTCCCCTCGTTCTTCGGCATCCAGCAACTGATCTTCACGAGGATGCTGGTCCGAGACTTCGGGGACACAACGTTTGTACAGAGACGATAAGGAGGTAGCCAGATCACTGTGAACCTTGGCTTTTTTCACAGCAGCCTTGTCTGCTGTGCCGTCACCAGCACTCCGTTTCGGTCGCATGGTTCTTATTAACTATCCTCTGTCTTATTGGCTTTTCACAAGAGATAGATCATGCAGATGGCAATCCTATCGGTCCTGTTGCAATGCCTCTATTGACACCGTCAATAAGCAAGGACGAGCCAAGGAGGCCAAATCTTTGGGTGGAGGCGGTAGAAAGCGGGAATGATCGAAACGTGACCGAAAGACCAGTCAAATCGAATGTTCAATCGGAGACCTCACGAATTTTCCAGCCAACAACCCAAGAACAAACATCCACCCACTTCTGAGTAATGGACTACGACTGTACTAGCTAGCTAGAGCTGGATGGATACATGTATTGCAGAAAAGCTTTCAAGCAAGATATAGTCCAATGCAAGCTCAATTGGTGCTACCTGGTATGCATCTTCAGTTCCTACCAGGTAAGGGTCCATCTGTGAGAGCAAGCTCAAGATTCCAAGAGCCAAAATTTGCCTTGTGAGTATTTACTTTGTTGCATGCATGCATGATGAGAGTTGCAGTCACAATAGATAGATGTGTTTCCATTCCACACCAATAAAAGTACATATTACAGTTACAATAAGCTAGCTAGTTGGCTTCCGGAGGAGGAGAAGACAAGATCAAGTTTCCTTTGGGTGTGGGAGGTGGCTCATTGGAAAAGTAAGGATGCCTCAGTGCTTGTGAGGCAGTCAGGCGATTGCTGGGGTCCAGCACCAAGATGGATTTCAGCAGAGAAATGGCATCGTTTGGCGCTGCAGTGAAGATTCCATCCAGGGACACGGCAGCTACCGGTGGTACCGGTACAGTAGAATGCCATGCCAATGGAAGTATTGCGTAGTCTGGCCAATTGCTTTCATTGGGTGTTCCAAAGACCTTGAATATTTTGTCTAGTTGAGACAATTCAGTGAACTGGCCCATCAGAAAAGGTCTCCGAAGCATGAGTTCCGCAAAGATGCACCCAACAGACCACATATCCGCAGAGAAGGAGTAATGTTGGGATCTCTACCGTACCGGTACGGTATCAGAGTTTGACAATAAGACACATCATCGTGGGAATCGGTGAAATGTAGTTCCATGCAGTCCAATCAATTAAACACATCATCATTGATCCATGTTGTCTACAGTACGTACCATTAACACCTCGGGTGGCTTGTACCACAACGCAAAGGCTTGGGGTGACAGCAAAGTGTTGGGTTTTCCATCATGCATTCTTGCCAAGTCAAAGCCCCTCAACTTCATGGTACCATCCTCCAGGTAAAACATATTCTCAGGATTTAATTCCCGGTGTAGTATCTGTTTCTCGTGACATGCATCCATTGCCAAGAGGAGCATCCGGATGTGCTGTTTGATATCTGGCGAGGACAGGGGAATGTCTCGATTCCTGAGAATCTGGTCGAGACTGGTGTGGGCATATTCGTATACGAGTACCACAGCCATGTCAGGGGTGGCAAAGGAATCCACCAACCGAATAATATGTTCATGTTGTAGGTAGGAAAGCAACTTGATTTCTCTCAGAGCCTTGAAATCTACACCTTCGTCGCAGCTATTGGCCTTGAATTTCTTCATGGCCACAAGTTGATCCGTATCCTTTTGCTGTCCCATATACGTCCGAGACCACACACCCTGTCCCAGTTGCTTCATGATCCTGTAGTTTTCCATGTTACTACTACATGTACCAATAGAAGGTCTCTGATGATCATTCTTTCTTGAGTGCAGCCAGTGCAGATTTGAGAGCAAGGTTGTGTTCTCGGTTCTTGAAACGATCTAAAAATCTTTAGTGGTACCACATGTACTACTAGCTACCATGATCTCCTTAAGTATGGGAAATATCTTTAAATTATTGTTCGCTACCCATCGCCGTTGATCTCCCACCACTCATTCTTTTCAGTTGGGATAGTAACACAACACGGACGGCTTCTCACGTTTCATCAAGTGGATGCTCGTGCTATTATCGATTGTAGCTAATAGCTAATAGTCAAAGTGTGGCTCTGACGCTTCCGTAAGATACAAAGGCCTGCAGTGGCGGATTGGTTGTGTTTGGCGGTGGCACTGGTAGCTCATAGCTAGCCAGAGACTGACTGTACGCTACGATGAAGGGAGACGGCAACGCCAAGACAGAGGAAAACTCAACTGATACAGCGGCGGCACCCGAGCCGGTGGCAGCCACGACAGAAGAAGAGAAAACCTCGACGCCTCCAGAGGATTCTGCGGAAGAAACCCCACCACCAACCACGGAGAATGCTGCTGGAAAAGACACCGACAACAGCAACAACAACTCGTCTTCAGAAGAACGTATCCGTGGTGGCGGCAAGGTATCCAATGACCGCGGCGGCAGGAATGCAAGGCGTCATCAGCCCTACAACAACAATAACAACAACAGCAACAACAATGAACGCATGCAGGATGGAGACAGATCCTGCCGTGTCTATGTGGGCAATTTGAGTTGGAACGTATCGTGGCAAGATCTGAAAGATCACATGAAATCCACTGGCTTGGAAGTGGCTCGTGCCAACATTATGACCACTCCGGATGGGAGATCCAAAGGATGTGGCATTGTCGAATTTACCAATCCTGAAGGCGCCCAGCAAGCTGTCAACACTCTCAACGATACCGAATTGCAGGGTAGAAATATTTTCGTCAGAGAAGACAGGGAGGATAGAAATGGACCTGGACCATCCGGCAACAGCCGAGGAGGAGGTGGCGGATCGACAGGAAGCGGTCAACATCGATTCACGCCAGGAGCACAGAGCCAAAGTAGACGTGTCTACGTTGGTAACCTCTCTTGGGATGTTAGGTGGCAAGATCTCAAGGATCACATGCGCCAAGCTGGAGAAGTACTACATGCCGAAGTCATTTGTGAAAACAACGGTCGGTCCAAGGGCTGTGGCATTGTCGAATTTTCCACAGCTCCGGAAGCTCAGGAGGCTATTGCAAAACTCACCGACTCACAGTTAAAAGGACGTCTAATTTTTGTGCGTGAGGACAGAGAAACCAGTAGTGGAGGAGCCTCTGGATTCCAAGGACATCGATCGGACAATAGTTCCGTCTATGTCTGGAACCTCAGCTACGAAACCAGTTGGCAAGATCTAAAAGATCACATGCGCAAAGCTGGAAATGTCGATCAGGCGACAATTCTGAGTGACAGCCAAGGAAACTCCATTGGCTGTGCTGTGGTAGTGTACCAGCGCCCTCAGGAAGCGGCTAGGGCCATTCGTGAACTCCAAAATTCAGAGCTGCACGGAAGGGATATTTACCTTCGTGAGGATCGAAACCATGGCGCCGTTGGAGGAGGTAGACATCATGGAGGTGATAGAGGAGGTCACGGACACCATCACCACCACGGAGGAAGAGGTGGTCATAGAGGTGGAGGAAGAGGACACGGAGGAGGCGGAAGAGGACATGGAGATGATGATAAAGGAAACAACCATGGACACGGAGGTGGATTCCTGTTGTTTGTCAACAATTTGAGTTACGAGACTAGCTGGCAGGATCTCAAGGATCATTTTCGTCAGTGTGGTGACGTTGAACGTGCTGAAGTCATGACCAACGCTGAAGGGCGTTCAAAAGGTTTTGGCACGGTTCGATTCATGAAAGAAAAAGAGGCAGAAGCTGCAATCGAGCGTTTGAATGGACAAGAACTTCAAGGTCGCACTTTGGAAGTGCGATATGACAACAAGCAACGGTAATCATGTCCTGGCATTGCTCTTGTGGTTTGCTCCCCTTCCAAGGACTAATCTCGTTGGGCGGGATCAGCATGCACAAAACGAGGATCATTTCTATGTGGCACAACGCTGTCACGTCGCCTTGGATGCGATCGTGGCACAATACACATCTCTATTGCTATTGATCCGAATGATTCGATTCGTGTGGTGGATGTTTAAAAGGTTAATGTTTGAATAGGACAACCGGTAATCAGTGCGAGCTAGTAGAAAGTAGTAATCAATTTCATGCAAGGATCTCAGTGGGGAAGTAAAAAGTTTCGTTGAACAAACGGAGTCAAAGAGGACAAACGATACTCGAGCATATTTTGACAGTGCACTTCTTGTTGGGATAGGTTCTGCAAACCGAAACGCTGGTCTCTCTCACAGTTAGTTTGTTTTGGACACACATTGTCTATTGCCCTGATCATAGGCAGCATCAGTCATGCTGAGGTTCCACATCGTAATGGAAGTTTGTGCAGCATTTCTTCAGGCAAAGACATGCACATAATGCTGCTATATTGGTAGCAACACTAGAAAAAGCAAGCGCCACTGAATCACCAAGGTTTCGGACTTCGCGATTGTTATGATTTGGTGTGTCCTCTGGTGCGTCGTTTATGCCGCCACCAGGAAAGTTGCCAGCCTCTTGCTTTGATTCTTCTGTTTTCCCTTGTTGCGTTGGTGTGGAACCACGAACTGAGCCAGTCTGAGCACTTGGGGCTTCTCGTGGAGTTGGAGTGCCGCTGCTCGCAGCGTTTGGTGACTCGGACGGACTGGTGGGTGGCACCAAGGGAGGGAAAGCGCTGTTTGATTCGCTGGGTCCGTCACTTGGATGCAAGGATGGGCTATCTGAAGGTGTCAGGGATGGGCTCGCTGAAGGTTCCAGGGATGGGCTCACTGAAGGTGCCAAGGATGGGCTACCTGAAGGCGCTTCACTCGGCCCGCACTGGGAAATCGACTGGGCGTCATTGAAGGGGGCCAGTTGGTAATGAAGCAGGTGGACTCGCCCTCGGAGTCCGAGTTGGCGCCTCTGAAGGCGGGCTGCTGGGGAAAGTAGAGGGCATCCTAGTTGGAAGTCGTCCATGCCAGACACAAACCTTTCCAGTTGCCCGATCAAGGATTGAAGTACAACCCTGTACAGTGTCCACGATGCGATCTGCTCCATCCCGACACATGGGCCGAGAAAGGAAGATGGCATTGACGTTCAACGACACGGGACGTGCACAGAAGCCGCTGGTATCGATGAAGGCTCGAACCTGTCCCATTCGATTTTGACCGCCGTTCTTGCTTCGATGGGACCCTGAAACTATCATTGAACCAGCACTATTCATCGAAACGGAGTTCCCAAACTGATCTACCGCGACTTCACCTTCGAAGCGGCCAACTGGAATAAGACTTCGCAGCCCATCTCGTTCAAATAGCTTGACCAAGCCAGAAAATCGATTGTAGCGTACAGCTCCAACCGCGATTCTACCACCATCGTTCGAGATCGCAACAGTTCTCCCCAGGCGATCCCCAGGATTCTCACCAAACTCTGTTTCATCTACCTGATGCCATTCCAGAGCTTCACTCGGACTTTCTCCAGTATAACCAAAAACGTAGACACAGCCTCTGTTTTCTTCGGAGCAGGATGGAGCACCAACAACCAAGTAGCGCTTGTTCAAGGCAAAGTCAATGGCAAACCCGAATTGATCGCCTGCTACCCGGCCAACGAGCGTCTTTCCGAGACGGTGCCTCGAGCCATCTGCGCTGATGCTGAAGACTTGCGCCAATCCTCGGTTCTCACCCCAATCGGGAGAAGACACTGCCACTAGCATTTCATCTGGCTGTCCATCTACAGAGAATCCCGCGGAGAATCCAAATCGAGCACTTTCGTGGGCGCCCGTGAGCTCAGTGAAGAGCTCCCAAGTTTGCGACCCCTCGTCTAGTTTCCAGAGCTGGGCTTTGCCTCGTCGAGCATCAAAATTCTCGCAGCCGACCAAAAGCCAATGAGCCTCCCCAAACGAAGATGTCTCAGGCGTTGCCCCTGAGTTTAAACTAACACCATCGCAGGTCGTAATCTTCTCTCCGATGATTCGATTGTCTAAGTAGCTGAACGTCTCGATCACATTGGTTCCAGCGGTCTCCCCTTTGTACCGCATCGACAGATAGTTTCCGTCCCCTGATAGTGCGATGCTGGCGCCAAACTCTTGACCAACCTTTCCAGCACGTTCATATTGCAACTGCCACGAAGACTGAGCTGAAAGCTCGATTGCGTTGGAAGGCGACGAACGACGATAGAGAAAGACGGCGCCGCCGCTGTCGTTTGGGGCTCCGACGGCCATGATATTGCCATTGCCCGACAGCTTGACAATCTTTCCAAACTCGAAAGGAGTCGTACTGCTGTCATGGTTCAGATCAGCAGGAACGCGTGGTTCGATGGTGTTGCCGAACTGCTTGAAATCGGACCCGACGGCAAATTCCGCCAAGGCGACGACAAAAAAGAGGGTTGCAACGAAGATCTTCATGGTGATTGATTGACGAACAAAATAAACTGATCGAATGGACGTTACATGTACCGTACGACTGTACCAGTACCAAGGAGTATTGATACTATTATGTACTGTACTAGTACCTAGAATGACTTGGACGGATCCCATTCCATTTGCGCCCACTTGCACCCACGTCGAACACCGGTCGAACGTGGGAGCGTCGGCCAATGAGAATGACGGTTAATACAACTACACGCCAATGACACCAGATACCATACGGACTGGCCCAACCAAGAAGATTCATTTGACAATTCCAAAATTGGTTTTAGCCAAACCAGAATCGAAAGCGGTCATTTCTAACAGAAGTGGTCATTTCGCGAATCCTGCATTGAAATGAATCGCTCACAAAAAGAAAAAATTGAAGAAATAAAAATGCATTTTATCACCATGGCAACAGAGTTGACCAAATGGCCATTAGCTTTACCAATACACAGAGATAGCAAATCCTTTTCCAGAAGCAGCTCCCCAACACACTCACAGAGCCACCCCTCAAAAATGATTTGCTATCTCCAAGGTTTCCTATGGAGCCTCTAGGAAAAATCCAGCTTGGTTGCATTTTGTTGTCACTCTGCCTGACATTCATTTCTCCAGTCCTCACTCTCAGCACTCAATCTGCACTCTAGAGTCATGTCAACCAAATTGCGCAGACTTCACATTATTTGTAGTCAGTCCACAGCCAAAGCAGTAGTAGAGAAGCTGCCATTTATTGCTTTTGGTAGAGGCGTCCTGGTCGCTCCGTGTCGCTCCGTGGAAGAAGAAATCATCGGCCGAATCGCTCCGTCAAACGAAAGACGCTTGTTGCCATCGCTTGTTGTTCTAGTGGTAGTAGTACCGGTAGTCGCTTGTTGTTGCATTAACGGTGGAGTCGTCGCTCCGTGGAAGAGGAGGGAACATGGTCGCTTCGATCGATTGCTCCGTGGAAGAAGAAAGAAGTCATCGGAAGTCGATCGATCCGTCGAACGAGCGATCGTCGAATGGCTGCCGCTGCCGCTAACCAAACAAGAGGAGCCTGTCATGGTGGAGTATTAGTAGCCTTTGTAAAGAGGAATAGCCGCTGTAAAGGAGATAGCATCATCTCGATAGAGTAAAAGAAGAGTATTTCACAGAGTAAAATTAAATGCAGAGGAGATCCGTTTCGCGTCGAGGAGCGAGGGCTGTGTCGCTTCTAAGTCTTTTCTTGTACTTTAAGTCTTTTGGACATGATGTCATAGTTCGCATTGGAATGTCCTACCGGGAACGTGCTTGCGTTTGCGTCAATAGCTTAGATACAGCCTGTACGCAACTTAGTGAACGTAGTGTTCGCTTACATGGGCACTGCGGCGAGATGCGGCTGTAATCCTAAAGGGAGAAGGCTAGCGTATCAGTCAGCAAGCGGGTAATGCTCCTCTGTCAAAGTCTATTACATCAACCTGGATACCTCCCAAAACGCCCAGGATGCCTTGATAACCTCAATCCACGTGGTTCCCTTATTCAAGTACCCGTGCGGAACCCGAACTCCTGTTTGACAACACCAGTAACAGAAGCAACAACCAACGAGCAACAACAACGACAACAAGCATGTCTTCAGTTTGGGTTCAGCTCTACTACGAGGGAAAGAAAGAACCGGAGGGCGGTCCCAGTCGAGTCTACCAATCTGATCTTGCAGCTGGTCGAGAGTGGGATATTGATGGCTTGAGGAAATTGGTCAAAGACAAGCTAGCGGAGGATCTCACGCACTGTTCTCCAGCTATGCTTTTTGTCTGCTCCCCAGGAATCCCAAAACCTTCCTCTCAAGACAACGCTCTCAAGGCATGGGATCCCATCCCCCCCAATTCTTCTGGGCAACAGCCCTTGATTGTGGTGGCACCCGCTCCACCGCAAGAGCCAGCAAATGGTGAGAAGAATTCTAGATTTTTTTGGTTTGTTTGTTGTTGAATTTATTCAAATCGTCCTTCTAACAATTAATCTATCATTCTTGGATTACTGTGGGTACATTATCGATTGGTTTGCCTTAATTTCACCATCAAAGCAGATGGTGAGAAGCTTTTTAGATTTGGCAATTCTTAGTCCACAACAATCAATTGCCTGCTTATTTTACCCTGTTTTTTGTTGCTTTCACTGTTTCCCTTTGACCTGCAGAGAAAATTGACTATGTGTACGCTTATTTGCAGGAAAAGAAGCAGGAAGAGGCCACTATACAATTCACGAAACCTAAATTGTCACGATACCAAAGAGCGGTCCAAAACATTGGAGTCAGAATCGACGCTCCAGAGTGGGAAAATGATCATCTAGTGGGCGAGTTCAACACTCTAGGTTCGGGGATGGCCGCTTTCACTTGGGGTCCTAGAAAGGAGGATTGCCTGGCGAACCGCAGTCTATACCTTGCCTATCTCAGGAACAACCAAAACATCGGCCTCCCTCACCATAGCAAGCTTTTTGATGGAACTGAGGAACCTGAACTCTTGTCCACGGATATTGTATCATTTGGAGTCAAAACAAAAGGCAATATCGATGTTGTGTTGGCACATAAGCATCACCAAGAAACAAGTACAACCAGGCACAATATGTGGGCTGGTATTGAACTCAAGAGGCAAGACAACACGAGTCATGCAGAGATCCGTCGGCAGGTTGTCCTACAGCATTTGTCAGCTTCTTTTCTGAATGAAGACACCGGTATCCTGACAATCATGACAGATCTCGGGCCAAGGTGGCATTTTTTTTTTGTTCAGCAAGGAGAAGAATCAGCTCATGGCATATCAAGCGCAGTCCAAGGGCGAAGCAAACTATCTTATTCGTCACATCATGGATAGCAGTGGTTCAGCCTCGGCCCCAATCTCAGTGCCCACCGACTTTCTGAATCGTGCATCCTGGAATAAAATGTTCCCCCCGCGCGAAGATGATACATTCATGGAAGAGGCGAAAGAGGATAAGGACCCCGACGAGGGAGGAGGCCAGGATTCCAGTGGAAAGTCTGGCCGCTCCAGGAAGGGGGGCCTGTCTAGTGATCGAGCGCAACAAAACCGCCAATCTACAGCTGCTGGAGCAACCAGCAACAGTGATATAGCGGGGAGTGCAAATGTTATGGGGAATAGCTTGGATTTCATGGATGATGAGGAAGAAAGGGAAGCAAGGTTCAAAGACGTCCTCGAATGTATACTCCCTCAATTGGGCGTGTTTCCTCACCGCGAGCTGGGACATGATCACTATGCAGAAGGTCCACCAAATCACATCGGAGTTTTGCGGTAGCAGCATGCAAATCCCACTTTGTACCGTGTCCCAACCCGGCTTGGCTTGCTGACAACACGGTCATTGTCTTGTGGGTGGTGCTCTTGCTCTCTCAATCTCTTCCGCCCAAGTCAAAGAGAAGTGCGACATAAAGCTGTATCCCTCCCCTTAATGGGGGACCGAGGTGAGATTATATTATTAGTGGTGAAACACCCGGCAACCAAAACAACAGTTATAACGCCGACCAACCTCCTTGTACCGATGAACACCACAATTTCCCACTTGCACCACTGGTGCAAGTGGATCAGGGATCTTGCCACTGTACCTGGTAGCTTCCCGAAAATGGGAAGGAAACGGTCCATCTTCTGCATCAAATCGTTTCTCAATAAAGCCGTTCCATTTGTTTCATTCATTCTTTCGCAAAAGTCACAGTGCCGTAACGTACCGGTAACTTCACTTCCTCGAGACTTCAGCTTGTACGGAGGCTCGAAACAGCAAGGGAGCCTCGTGATGACAGGACCCTTCTGGCCTGCACTGGAATGTGAACGGTATCAATTTGTCCAAAGCCGCGAAGTTGCGTTGCACGGATTGCCGTATCAGAGGCCTGTTTGACGATCGCCCTGTCCTTGGATTTCACGCCTTCAAAGACAAAAAACAGTCATGGGAAGAACGGCTTTTGCAGGTGCATCGACCATGCGCCAGCTTAACTACTACCGTTGGAGGTGTAGTGTCATAATAACCACGATACGGTAGCGATGATTTTGTTGGCTCACTACCGGTACCGGTGTTCTTTCGGCGCGTTGAAGGAAATCCAGGTGACAAAGGAGGTATTACTAAGAAATTGCCATTTGTGGTTTCCTTGCCGGCTGCAAAATCTCAGATCGCGAGCCATTCACTCATTCAAAACCAACTTCCTCAATGCTAACGATTGTTGCAGCGGCGCCATCGCGGCATGATACCACTGGAACATAGCCATCAGTATCATCCATGTTTTCAATGTGTGCCTTCATGTTGTGAGTAACAATGAGGGGAGCCGCACCATCCACCGCAGAAATAGAAAAAGTACCGTTGCTCGCCGCTGCAGGAGAAAGATCAAGGGTCAACTTGGCACCGGACCTCTGTTAGCGTTTGGATCGATACATAGACAGCCTGCAGGCTTATAGCTAAGGTGGCTCACCGCCATTCAATAATAGACTCACTCTTTTAAACCAACACAATGGCGCTCTTCGCTTATTAGGTCATTGAGCCCAAATACGACTACTATTACCAATCCTTCCTCTCTTGCAACACCACTAGCATCGACAGGAGCAACGGCTACAACAGCAGCAACAAGCGGCGCTTCCTCCGGTTGGCTACAACCGGAGATCGATCGATTAGCAGCAGCTCCACGCTGAATCGCCAAAATCTTTCGACAATGAAGATCCCGACTCCCGACAGCGCTTCTACGGCCACTACGGCCACCGGCGACTTGCTACAACTCCAACTCCAGCACGACGTCGACCATGCACCAGCTGCAACGACCATCGTCAACCCGTTCGACGCTTTATTCGATCCCTTTTCGAACAACAACAACAACGTCACCAATGCCGCCGACCATGGCGCTCCTACGGACGCACCTGCTACTGCCGGTACCGCTACCGACGCACACCAGCAGCAGCATCAACAGCCCTTCGGCGTGCTCAGACAACAACAACAGGCACGAATGGAGGCTGGAGCTGGGGTCCTGAAGACGAGACACGGGGATGGGTCAGTTGCTCAGGCTTGAGTGGCGGCAGCTCGAGCCGCTCTGGCTTCAATGCTGTCAAACGGTTCGTGCTTTGGATGGAACCATCCGTTGGTGGCCTCCAGTTCCAGCTCGAGTGCTTTGATCGTGGCTGACATGGCGAGTCGCTGGGCTTCAATATGGCAGCAACGGTGGGAACGAGCTGTGTTGGTGCTGGCAGGGTGCAGTGGAAGTCTGCAGGCGCGCATCGTGGAAACCCGGCTGCGTGCACTGGAGAACTGTGGGCGCGCCGTGGAAACTCTGAACGGGGGTTGCTGGTTGCCCAAGGTCCAGCTGCTGATGGTGGACTGCTGGAAAGAGAGCTTGTGCCAGGGCCTGGACATCTGCTGAGGTACCCCCCATGAGACTGGCCAGTCTGTTGGCTAGTGTGTTGGGAGTGTAGTCAGTGGGAGTTGTCAGTGGAGCTGGAGAGCTAGACTGGACTGTGTGGGGGCCTTCAGAATGGACCCTTGTATGGGCTGCCGTTGGAGCTGCTGGCACCCTGAATTGGAGTGCTGTTGTTGGCCAAGCTAGGGGCTGATCGGGAGTGTAGCTGGCTGTTCAGCTTGCACAGAAGCGTGGAGCTCGAATGGGTTGAGCCTCTGCTGGAGTGGTGGAGCTTGGTGACTTCGGTGGAAGTCGGTAGCTTGGCTGGTGCCAGATGGCCACTGTGTGACGGCAACATTGCTGTTGTTGCCATGGGAGATGAAGTCGTTGAGACTTGGAGGTGGCAAGGGCCTCGTGAAGAGGTCTGCTAGATGCTGTGGGTGGGGTCGTGTGGGTGTTGCCATGACCGGCTGGGAACGGCCGTAGCCGTTGCCGGCAACAGGAGCGCCATGGGCTCGAGTTTCGAAAAGTTGTTGTGGTTGTTGGAAGACGGCGAAAGGCTGCTGCTGTTGTTGGTAGCTGTTGGTAGCGGCAGGAGGAGGAGCCGTGGCGATGGCCGTGGCCGTGGTAACACCCGATGCTGTCGGTGCGGGCGCAAAAGTGTCGGTAGCGCCGTCGGCAACAGGAGCGCCATGGTCGCGCAATTGAGTTTCGAAATTATGTTGTTGTTGTTTCGAAAAATTCGAAAGGCTGTTGTTGGTGCTGCTGCTGCT